TAGGTCTTGTTTAGGTTTTATGTCTGTCTTTGAATTTTGACTTTTAAAGTGATTTTATTCATTTTTAGTTTAGTCGAACTGATGATGGAGCTGGACTCCGAAACGTTTTCAATATCGATATGGTGAATTTTCTTGGCGTTTTCTTTGCTTTTAAATTCCTTGTGAGTTTTCATAAGCTGCGGTCATGCTGCTTGGTCCACTGAGTCTTTTTTCCCAAACTATGTTTGCATCATTGAAATTGAAGACAACGGAATTTCTATAGCAGACTAACAGTCTGCTTTACTTCGCTCACGATAAAATAAAAAACGATGTAAACCTGAGATGCCAAGCAGCGGCATGTTGTTCCTGCTGCCGCTGGATCCAATACCTGTTCCAGGTTCTCAGCTGGGCAGTGGCTCTCGAGACCTGGACGATCCAGCAACAAACTCTCGCTCAGCTGCGAACATTTTAGTCTGTAACTTCAAATTAAAAAAATAATAATGTGCGCGAAGTTAAATAGAGTATTCCTAGGAACATTTTAGTCTGTAGCTTCAAATTAAAGTAATTAATAATGTGCGTGAAGTTAAATCGATTATTCCTGGGTGCAGACGTGGTTTTATTTTTTTCGAGGAACGATTATCTTATCGACAAATTGTGAAGTGTTTCTAAAAAAATCAGTGTTTAGATCGAAAATAAAAATTGTGTTAATAAACATTTGACCCTATCCCGGAATCTTTACACTGATGATGCTATGTTTTGCACTCTAGGCCGAGTGATCCACGATATTCGTTTTAATATGTTTGCATATTATTAAGCCATAGTGTTTAATCGAATTAATTTTATTCGCTAATGTGATATAGATTTAAATTATTAATTACGATTTATTATTGTACGGTTACGTCGTTTGACTATCATAATTTGGATTTTTAGCAAATTTATTGACGATTTTGGTCTTTGAATAATTATTAAACTAATGCTGAAATTAATTGCTACAATTAATTGTTGACTGAAATAAATTTTTATTCCAAGGGTGATTCGGTAAAACACGAAACTCTTAACATCACCGTCGTAGCTCATCACTTGTCTCGTTTTAGATACATCATCACTTCCACACAGTCACCATTTGTTCACAACCTCACTACACCACTACGCAGTCAATACAACAACCTTTCACCACAGTCACCATTTGTTCATCACCTCACTACACCACCGCGCAGTCAATGCAACAACCTTTCATCGCACTCACCATCTGTACACCACCTCATGTCACAACCACGTCACACTACAATGTGCTTGGTCGTCACCTGGTCTTACAACCACGTGTTTCTCACCTCATCCCCTCACCACACTTAGTCAGCACTTCACCACACCAACACGTGGCCATGAACCACCACCATACATCATCATTACATCTCATCACACCACTTTAGCAAACTTTCACACTATACCACCTCACAACCTTACCCCAACTTACCACACTACTTCATATCATCACCACACCACATTACCACATCACCTAACTTCACTAACACCACCACACCACCAAACTGCCACACCATACCACCACACCACACCGCCACTCCACCACACAACACCACACCACACCGCTTAACTTCACCAACATCACCACGCCACCTAACTTCACCAACACCACCACATCTCCTAACTTCACCACCACCGCACCACCACACCACCTAACTTCACCAGCACCACCACGCCACTACACCACCAAACTTCACCAACACCACCACATTACTTAACTTTACCAACACCACCACACCACCAAACTTCACTAACACCACCACACCACCAAACTTCACTAACACCACCACACCACCTAACATCACCAACACCACCACACAACCTAACTTTACCACACCACCACACCACCAAACTTCACTAACACCACCACACCATCACACCATCAAACTTCACTAACACCACCACACCACCTAACTTCACCAACACCACCACACAACCTAACTTTACCACACCACCACACCACCACACCACCAAACTTCACTAACACCACCACACCACCACACAACCTAACTTTACCAACACCATCACACCACCACACCACCAGACCACCTCACCACACCAACACCACCACACCACACCACCACCACACCACACCACCACACCATACCACCCCACCCCACCGCCCCGCCGCGGGCTGGTAACGGAGCACACGGCGGCGGCGGGGCAGCAAGTATGCGACCCACTTAGCGCCGCGAGCTCAGCCTGCCATTCTGCCCGGCCGTGCGTGCCCGAAATTTCCTACGAACGTAGCAAGTTTTTAAATTGCAAACGCAATCAGTTTGTAAATTGCAAAAGTAGTAAGCTTGTTTATAGTGAATATTTCATTTGAAATAAGTTATTAAACTGCAAGCAAAGTAAGTTTATACGTTCCAAACTTAGTTCTTGTACAGCGAATGTAGAGAGTTGCGTAAACATTAGGGCGTTGTGGGTTCCTTAATTGCTAACTTACTTAGTTCGATAGCTAAGAAATTAGTTCGTTAATTACATGCGGGTTAAAATTCGATCAATGTTTATCTGGATGAAACGCTGCGATTGGACGAGATTAGTTTGAATTTTTTCGGGGCTTTGATAGATGAAAGAAAGCTCAATATATTTGCTTAACAGTCTTGATAGTTACCGTGTGCTTGAATACTTCACTCGTTTCTCTATGAATACATAAAGAGCGTTAGAGTATTAGAGAAATACTTAGGTAATTTGAAGTCCATTATCATACTGAATGTTTGATTACTTGTGAATGTTATCCGAGTTCCGTTCGTCGATAATTTAGAAGAGCACCTTTTCTTTATATCGAATGTTGTCATTAAACGTTCAGTCAAATGTTGTTTTGTGATGTTGTTTTGTAGGAGACGATGGCTTTTGCGAGCCTTCCTGCATGTTTCAAAAATATATATATTATATTTTTCTATAAATGGTCAATGGGCATAGGAAAACGATCTACCGCTGCCCATTTACAGATTTGAAAACCCAATCTCGTCTTCCTGTAGTCAATTCGACTTAATTGAACTTCAAAAAAACATGATTTTGATGCATAATATTTTGTCTGCTACAACACTGCTACTCGCCTGTTAAGCTCGCGCCAGTGATTGGAATCAAATATATCGCTGCGCTGAATATGAGATTAGCATCGCAGCGTGGGAGGCACAAACTGGCCCCATCCATTTATTTTTATTTCAGTATAAATTGATTTAGCGGTGAGCGCTTCAGTTAGTAACTAAAAAAAATTGTCCCGATATGGCCTCAATGTGATACGTAGCTTTCATCGATAAAATATGCATGCCACATCATAGTCATGATAATTTGATATGTAGTTGATTCAGGCTGAGTTTTTTACCTGGTTCTCGCGTATATAGTATGACTTAGAACAACATTTCGTTGAATTTAGTGAAATTATAAATCATCCATCACTATATGCTATGAACGTGTTGGATGCCAATCGATGTTGTTAGACTGAACGTCAACTAAAAGCGCTTACCTTATACAAAGAAACGTATTAACATTTATTACAATTCCATATTTCTCTTGATTATCAACAACATTCTAATTAGAGGGTAGATGAATAAGCGGTTCAGTCATAAATGTTCTTAACAAAACTGCCGGTAAATCATAAGGTTCGATTGCAGTGATTAATTGAAAATATATAACCACTTTTCAGTCTCTTTGATTCATCACTCGTTTTTCGACAGTTCGATTGTATGGTAGACTATTATACATATAGTACAGTGTTGCATTAGGTACATTAGGCTACACTAGGTACAGCAGGAATTAACCCTAAGTATAAATTTGTTTTAATTTTAACCGGTTTGCTTGCATGTCATCAAGTAATTATGTAATAATAATAATTTGTAATGTTAAATTATTCAAACTATCTTGTTTAATTGAATTTGCAATTTTTTATTGCTTTAGAAGTAAGAAAACTGTATCTGATATTGCAGTTCGGAATTGTGAATAGTGATGAAATATTGACATTTATTGAAAACTTGTCAATAAAATGAGGAGCTTTTTGCATTAGCATGGGAAACTTCTGTGCCTGTAAAAGAGAAACTCAACATGCAAGTGAAGAACAGAGTTACGTTGATAACAGAAGCAAATTGAAGAAAATAAAGATTTTCTTTGAGCAATTTTGTGGCAATAACGATGCTAGAATTAATTCAAGAGCTACAGCACAAAGTGGAAACCCCGGTCAAAATAAAGTGGATTCGGACGATGCCCTTGCGGGTGAAAGACCATGTGAACAGGACGGAAAAGTGAATTCCTTCATAAAACTAGGGAGAAATGTTAACCAAATTCAAACGACGATCGATGAAAATCATGAAAATTTAATGCCCATTCCCGCAAAAGAAGATATTTTATCGGTCGGTAATTATAATAGTAACGCTGACAATATAAGTAGAGAAATAAATTATGTTTCAGATGCAGAAACTGTAGCTTGCTTCTCCGGCAGCCGTGCAACCAAGTTGCGACATTCACGGAAAATTTCAAGTGTGAAAACTCATCGTTGCCAGCGGAAACTCCGGCATTCTGGTCGCCGCCATTATGCCACAAGAAATTGTAGGGCTCCGACGTCTGTTTCTATTAAAAGTTTCAGAGGAAATGATGACAGTCACTTATCAGTCCTGAATAAGGCTTTGATAAATGAAAATTATCCTGAGCGACATGGACGCAGGACAAGAAAATCCTACGAAAATGGTCATCAGAGCGCACTACGACGAAGGCTACATGCATTCGAAACATCGTCTCAGGAACCCCTCTTGGGCATGGGCAGTTCTTCGTCAGCAGTCATCTCGGACAAAAGTTCTTTCTCGCCAAAAGATAGTTTAGAACCCATGAAAAATGTCGTATTTTTCTTTAACGAGCCTTTTTCAGACCAGAAAACGATACAAAAATACCCACAGCCACAACGCGTTCATGCAGGGAACAACGTGTATGAAACATGTACAGCAGCAATTACTGCAGGCTCGGCAGAGCAAGGCAAGATTAAACAGGAAACTACGAGTCTATATCCATCCTTGACATATTCTGCACGTTACTATTCTCGAAACGATTTGTCAAATCCATTTTTGAAAAGTTCAGGCTCCTGCTGTTCTCAACAACAGACGGGAGATATTCAGGTTGTTTCAGCGAAACCCACCTCTACAAGTTACCAACCTCGTGGAAGCGGAAACAATTCTATGCAATTTTGCACATGTTGCCAGGGGAACTGTGTTACTGGTGACGGGTCTAATAAACTTCTATGGAAAGATCGCAAAGATGAATCAACTAAACAACAATATCAGGTGAATAAACGTTCAGATGAAAATGCTGTTAGAAAATATCAAATCAAACACCTAAATCAAATGGCTTCAAAGTCACGTAGGGACCAACCATGTACAGCAAAAAATTATCAGCTTCATGATTTCCAAACCACATATGGTAGAAATCAACCGGAGTCTGAAACTTTTAAGCAATTTCAAGCCTCGTCTGTTCGTTCAAACATAATTCAAGAATTTGCTCAAAGTAATTTAATAAATTTTCCTAATGATGAGACTATGTCGTTGAACGAACGACCAAATATTCATGTTCATGAGGAGTTTTTACCTCATGAAAACTGTTACCCTAAGCCTTCTGGGCAGAGCCAAATAAATCAACTACCAACTAATTCAACGGATATTGTCGAGCATATACGAAACAATTATTATCAAAACGATGGGATTGTGCGAGCTCGAGTCAAACAGTTCGATCCAACAGAACAGCATTTCATTTATAAAAAATCTGCCAATTTAAAGCCTATTGCAGAATTAGCGACTAATGTTCATCAGCAACATCTCAACAATTTAGATTCTAATGAAATAAATAATCGATTGCAAACGAACAGTTTCATAGATACATCTCAAAATTTGAGCGAAAATCCCCCTCAAGTGCGCAATAAAAAATTGCACCGTCTAAATAATAATGATAAAACGGTTAATATAATCGATCCTCGTTTGGATAAAGCTCCTCTAAAGCAAATAAAAAAGAAGGATTCGATCAAGGATGAAAGAAGGATGAAACCACACCGACATAAGGAAAGAAAATTGCAGCAAAAATCATCTTTCCGAAGTGGCAAGACAAGAGCTAGAAGAAAGTCTTTCAGACGCAGCGCATTTTCTCGTTACAGGCAAATGCTCAAGGTGATGCCGTCGAAAAAAAACTTTATTTAGATCTCTTTTCTTTCTGAAATGTGTTTCTTGATGTACACGATTAAATATTATTAGGGTATCTCTCCTCATTATAGGTATTTATTATTATTATTATTATTATTATTGTTCTTATTATCAAATTTCCCCATTATGTTCACTCGACAAGAACTCGGAGGTTTTTGAATGATGGCTGTGAAAGGGATCGGGAATGACGTCGTAGAATTTCTGTAGTTAAGTAACTTATACAGTAAAAGTAACTTATACAAATCAGTAAAACATATCGTGTGCAGGAACGTTAATGCTGCGCGTTATTTCCATTCAACTGAAGAAAAATGGTGAAAATTTTTTGCGTGGTCCATAAGGCGAAAACAAAAAATGTAGCGATTTTTCCTATGACGTATTCTGATTAATTGTGCCATGCTACTACTTTACTAGCATTACTTAGTGTTCCAAGAAATAAAAACAACTGCAGGAGTTGTAAAGAAATCGGTATATATTTGTATTGCATACGAAGACGTGTGTTCACTTTGCAAAGCTTAGGCTTGTTATTATTTAATGTTATTACTATTTTATTATTTAATGTTATTAATATCTTATTTTACTGCAGGATGGCTCAGCACCAGCTGAGGGCACCGCGCGTCCTACAGTGCCTTCGTCTGCAGCCCTCAAGAGGAAGGCTGAGGGCCTGCCCACCGCTGCAGGGGATGAGGTTACGTCTAGGGTGAGTGTCTTATATTATGTTATATTTTATTATATTATATATGTTATATGTGCTATATTATTATATTATATTATTATATTATATTATATTATATTATATTATATTATATTATATTATAGTACATTATTTCATATTATATTACGTTATAAGTGTATAAGTATAACAGTAATGAACTAAACGTGGTGTATCGAGCAGGAAGGAGGTTCGGGGTTGTCTATATGTAAATAAAACAAAATGGTTTCAATATGGATGATGTTATTGACTTTCTGTCTTGGATTGATTAACCGATGCAAGGTTGATGCTGAGACAAAAATATTTATATACTTATAATTATTATAAGTCTATGTATTTAATATGTCAATCGGGATAAGGAAATTGACTTGATCGTTTAAAACAAGACATTGCCATGTCGAAAAAGATATCTATGTCAGTTATTAAACTGCAAGAAAATACGATAGTAAATTCACTTTATTATTTCAATTTTCATATGATTGCTACTTTCTGTATAGTATAGATGTCCGTTTTAGGGTTGAAATGTTAGAAATTACAGTTGACAATTGTCTACAGTTGACAATTAGGCATGAGAAGAAACTCGCCAAAATTGCGGGAAAATTACATGTAAACATATTTATATATATTTTTTATAATTCTCGTAGGTGAATCGTGGCTCACACGCCCCCGGTGCCCTCGGTTCAAAGGGCGTGAGGGAGGAGATCGGCCTAGTGAGGGAAGCCATCGGTGCCCTCAGAACAAACTTCAGGTAAGAGGGGACCACTCAGAAGAATGCATGTGTAATATCGTACAAAAAATGACGCCCTTTTTACACGTAACAATGATGCGCCCTTTTGGCCGGGCAAAAAAAAAAAATGGATTAGGATGACGTACAAAAAAGCAAAAATGCATCTTTATTTGGACAAGGTCTCATTTCGTTGAGCGTGTAAGCCAGCAATTAAATATTAAGTGAAATGATGGTGTGGTTTGCTTCCAAAAGTAGTTTCTTAAATAAATTTTCATCTAAATTTATTATGATTGATATTTTTAAATTGTAGAGGTCACTGATATTCAAATTTACACTAAATTATCAAAATTGTAATAAATTATTTTATTATTTCAAAAAAATTATTTAAATTATTTATTTAGTTAAAAGATGTCTAAATTTTTCATTTATTTATTCAATATTTAAATTTTTCATTTATAAAGAAATAAATCAATTCTAGTTGTGGTGATAACCGATGGTGAATGAACCGAAACCATCCTGTTCACTAAATAATGTTCTGTTAATTTGACCAGCCAGATCTCAAGTTCAGAGATTATATTAACTTTATTCGACTCTTCATGTAAGTTTGGCGTCCTGTACAGGAGCACGGATCCTAACCAGCATATCCTAGATACGCTGGAGCAGGCCATAGGAGTCCTCATGGAGAAGAGCGTAGCTGGGGGCGGCGCTCCTGTATCTCCTGCAGATGACAGTCACTACCAGTGCTCGAGTGGTGCAGGTTCGAAAATTACGATACATAACACGTAATTATGAAATAAATAACTTAATTAAATAAATACAGATAATTCAATGCCATTTAGAGTCCATCAGAGGTTATCATAATTAACAAGTAGGTGATCCGAATGCAATGCAAGTGTTGAATTTGAAAAAAAGTCGACTTCTTCACATTACTGCACTTAGAATTTAATTTTATTATGATAGATAAATGAATTTTATGTTGATTCATTTGCTTGTACAGGGAGCATATGAAATGAACAATGAAGGACGAACAATAAAATTAAGTTGCTTATAGGTCAGAGATTCTTGTCAGAGATTCCGTTGAGAATCGACAAAATGACAATGTTGTGGTGTAGTGAAAATGAGGCTGGGATCTTTATGTTTATAAGATGATTTATCACAAGTAGCGTATTTATAAACCAACTATTTTATTTTAATAATTTGTCTTTTATTAATAAAATCTGGCCTATAATAATATAATAATGTTACTGACCTATTGAGTTCACTTCTTTTCGACATAAGTTATTTCTATTAAGCTAATTTTGACCACCGATAGATTTTTTATTTAGACGGCATTTCTGTAATAGAGCATATTTGAAAAATATTATTGGTAATTGGGTTATAATTATTATGCGAATCATAGACGTAGTATAATAGTGGAATTATTTGACAACGTTAGTTATTAGGACAGTGCAAGTAGAGACGTTAGTTCAGCAGTGGATGCAATATAATGACAGAGTTAAAATATCATCTTAATTTTATGGATTAATGTGTTTGATTTATTATGTATCCTATAAGTACTAATTTTAGTCGATTTAATTGCAAATTGTGCAATGGAAAGCGAAAACGTCTGTTAAAAAACTTCATTATTGAAAATTTAATTTCAATGGACCTTTCGTGATTTATATTCTCGATGACCGTGATAGTATAATTAGTATGTGCATGTAAGTGACTTTACTGTTAATTTAACTACACAGAAAATGGCGCTACCCAAACTAAAGTAATCTACTTCACGGAGCGCACCGTGACACCGTTCATGTCGACGGTGTTCAAGGCACTGGGGCAGGTCAGGCTGCGGGACTTCAAACAGGTTTTCGACAGGCCCGGCCTCCATCGCTACCACTTCAAGAACTATGACCCGGAGTACGGCATGGTCAAGGAGGAGGTGGGTTATTGTTCTCATCAAATAAATATATAAATGAATATTTTTCATCGCCCTGAACCTTTTTCATCGTCGTAAATCTTTTTCATATCGCACTGAAACTTTTTCATCGCTTTGAACCTTTTTCAACGCCATGAACCTTTTTCATCGCCTTGAACCTTTTTCATCACCATGATCCTTTTTCATCACCATGATCCTTTTTCATCGTCGTAAATCTTTTTCATATCGCACTGAAACTTTTTCATCGCTTTGAACCTTTTTCAACGCCATGAAACTTTTTCATCGCCATGAACCTTTTTCATCGCCTTGAACCTTTTTCATCGCCATGAACCTTTTTCATCGCCCTGAACCTTTTTCATCGCCATGAAACTTTTTCGTCGCCATGAACCTTTTTCATCGCCTTGAACCTTTTTCATCGCCCTGAACCTTTTTCATCGCCTTGAACCTTTTTCATCGCCATGAACCTTTTTCATCGCCATGAACCTTTTTCATCGCCTTGAACCTTTTTCATCGCCATGAACCTTTTTCATCGCCATGAAACTTTTTCGTGGCCATGAACCTTTTTCATCGCCTTGAACCTTTTTCATCGCCATGAACCTTTTTCATCGCCTTGAACCTTTTTCATCGCCTTGAACCTTTTTCATCGCCATGAACCTTTTTCATCGCCATGAACCTTTTTCATCGCCATGAACCTTTTTCATCGCCATGAACCTTTTTCATCGCCATGAACCTTTTTCATCGCCATGAACCTTTTTCATCGCCATGAACCTTTTTCATCGCCATGAACCTTTTTCATCGCACTGAACCTTTTTCGTCACTATGAACCTTTTTCGTCGCACTGAACCTATTTCGTCACCATGAACCTTTTTCTTCGCCATGAACCTTTTTCATCGCCATGAACCTTTTTCATCGCCCTGAACCTTTTTCGTCACCATGAATATTTTTCATCACCATGAACCTTTTTCATCGCTTGCACCACATAACAGAACTAGCTATCCACATTTAGTTGATGATTATAACAATGCGTGGGTAAGGAAGAGGTAGAGATCATTGACTTGATCATATAAGTAAAAATATTAATGATATTCTAATGAAATGATTGTGATTATGATCGAATATCTAATAGATTTTCTCTACTGATATCCAGTGATCTATCATTGATGTTTATGCTGCACGCCTGTAGCATTTATTACAATGATGACTAACACAGCTTTTAAAATTAACGTTATTGTTCTTGCGCATGAATGCTTCCCGCCGAAAAATTTACATTTTAAGGGTCAATTCTATTTTTGAACAGAAAATTAATTATAGTAATGAATGTCAAGAGAAAAAGTAGAGTTTTAATTTATGTCGTAATGTAGCTAATATAATAAATCATGAGCAGCCACTTATTAAATACTTTTGTATACTTAACTGATAACGTTACTTACGAAATGATAATATATATTATATTATCGTATTTGTGTATATATTATGTAAAATAATATAATAATAATAATAATATTAATAATATAATAATATAATATAATAATATAATATAATATAATATAATATAACTGTAATTTAATAATTATTACAGATAATCAACGACGACGACATCTTGCCTGGAGTTGACGGCAAGATCATCGCGTGGGTGCAGGAAGATCGCGAGTAACATTAAGCCAAAGAATTTTTAGTAATATTATTATTTATCATTACATTTGATCGTTATCATTATCATTCTTACCATTGAATTAATGTTAAATATAATTATTATTGTTTTCGATCATATCAAACATTCACTTTTCTGCCCCATGATAATGATTATATTTTTCGAATTGTTGTACTTAATTAAGATATGAGGATTAGTGAAGCAGGATGGATTGAGTTAATGTTTTGTTTCGTTGAAGGTAATAAAATTAAAATAGTATGAAAGATGATCTAGTTTTAATAAAAACAGTTATTTAGCACTGTGTGTGTGAACTACAACAAACGAGCTTTTTTATATTGTACTGAACAAATTAAGGCCAGCTTAGAAGAAGATTGTTCTTAATCTGAAATGTTTATCTGGCTACACACAAAAAAATTAATCGGTCATATTGTACAAAAAGTGACACTTTCTTACTCACTACTCGAGCAGAGAGCTCGTGGAGTTTAATACTTTTAAAACTTAATACTTTACCCGTGTTTAAACCTTAATACTTTACATCAGGACGGATAATATGGAATCATATTTCAGAAAATTATGGGTCATAAGGGCAATCAAATTTAGACTGTAACATACGGTATGTGGAAAATTGTAGATATTTCTAATTATTTGGTCTTTTTTTGCCCAGTTAAAAAAATGCAAATTTCAGGTTTCTAGGACAAACGGTAATTATCCAAGTTTTAAGCAACAATAAGACTTTTCATGTAACAATGAATAGAACGGCTAATTTTATTTAAACTGGTAAAATATACTTCATTTACAAAATTAATAACATTTTGTAGAATAAACGCATTGCAAATATCGTGCTGACTATCGTGGTATCCCATGCAATTTAAATTTTATTCATTTGTGCTATAAATAATAAAAAATTCTAATAAATAAATGGCGATTTGTTTTGTACATTAATATTGTTGCAACGCGATCTCGTAAATTGTGCATGTAATACCTATAATCCCTGGGATAATGATTATAAAACTTTTGTACAGAAAATCATATTAACCAGACATAGAAGAAAAATCTTTCCGGAGACGTTGATTTTTGGTTGAATTTTGGCTTTACATTAATTGTAAGCTGTACTTGTAAGCAAACTCACTCTGTGTTTGCACATTAAACAATATACTGACAGTATTATACATGTTGCAAGACCGTTGACATGTTATTTCATGTATTATTTTTGAAACGCAGCATTTGGAAAATGTGTGGTAATTATAGTGATAATCATAAAATTTTTATTCGTGAGTAAATTCATCAAGTTCACGAATGGACGTTGAACTCTTCAATTATCATTTACATTCAGTCCCACGATTCAAATATCGAAACCGATTTAAATGTCGTCTGTAAACGTGTTGTTGCCGTTCATTTTTCTTACATTTTTCCAGCTGTGCCTACCTGAAAATTTCGAGATCAAAAATTCAATTGATGATATAAAAAATTATTTAAACTTAAGAACTTAAGGACATTACAAAACAAATGAATGTTCAAACATCTTTTAGAACTTCACCACGTGAGGTTGAAACGCTATACCTTTCCTTAACGGCACAACCTGGACTGATTTTTGATTTGGGTTTCGTTTCTTGTACCTATTGTGTAATTACTTTACTAAACCAAAATAAATGATTTTAGATGCGTAAATATTTTAATTTTTCCCTTCTAACATGGGAGCATACATTTTAAGTCAGCTCCACGCAAAAATTATTTATTTAAACTTTACCCCAAGATAGAATGAAATTCCATTAAAATTTTTGTATATTTTATTTTTAAGAAAACTAAAATACTAAATATAAGAAGAAAAAAAGGACTCGCATAGGTTGGATGACGTTCGTTCATAATTTTTAATAACCCAGATCTCTTTTTAGTCACGGTGTTCGAGACAAAGACCTCAACATTTAAAACCAAAATATTTTCATCACGTTGTTCGTAGATGGAGTGTGTTCGTACCAACAATGGTATCACTTGTTGACTTGATGTAATAATAAACATAAATGCTACCCACGAATAAACTTAAAATTATCAGAGGAAGGCCGCCCGTGCTAACGTTTAATTGAGTGCAAGCGACGTCTACGACGGCTCTAAGCACGGCCATGGTTAGCACAGGACGTAGCAACGCCCGACGACAGTGTTTCTGTTAAAAATTTATAAAATTAATCAATTTTATTTTACATAATTAATGTGACGTAGCAACGCTCGACGACAGTGTTTCTGTTAAAAATTTATAAAATTAATAAATTTTATTTTACATAATTAATGTGACATAGCAACGCTCGACGACAGTGTTTCTGTTAAAAATTAATAAAATTAATATATGTTATTGTATTCAATTAATGTTATATATGATTCATTTTTATTAGTACTACATTATTATTAATATAATAATACATTGTGCGTAGGTACCAGGTACATTGCAGATAAATTTCCTTAGGAAAAACACATCTCAAATGTAAAATATTCTGACATCGATCAAATGAATTATCTATACCGTTCAATACATATTAAGCGTTTGCTTGTCATTCGAATTCTGAAAAATACAAATATCACAAGGTATTGAGAGATAATAATGGTGCTTACATATCGTTGATTTGCTACATAACAGTGATGATGCATCATTGACCCATTTAATAATTCATCGCAAATCCTCCTAACAAATATATGTTTTATTTTCACAAATAACTTTGCAATTTTTCATTTACTATGTAGGCCTGCAATTTTGAAACAGTTCTATGGACCCACTTAGCCAAATACATTTAAAAAATCCATCGCAAATCCTCCTAACATAAATACATTTTAATTCACAAATAATTGTGCAATTTTTCATTTACAATGTAGGCCTACAATTTCATAACAGTTCTATAGCAACTGATGTATATAGCCTAACTTATAACCTAAATTATATATAGCGTAACCAAGGACTACTACACACAGGACATGCATAGCCTATGTCCAGCCTCTGCTAGCAGAGGCGATCGCCTACACTATGAAAATGCTGTTGTTTTAGTGGCATCAACAAATGATNTTCTGACCAAGGACTACTACACACATTGTAATACTATTGTATGAAACAATTATGGGCATATCATTTGTTGATGCCACTAAAACACCAGCATTTTCATAGTGTAGGCGATCGCCTCTGCTAGCAGAGGCTGGACATAGGCTATGCATGTCCTGTGTGTAGTAGTCCTTGAGCGTAACTTATAACAGCAACTGATGTTGAAATAACGTAGATAAATCGCTGTTATTTCAACCAATTCAACCTGTTATCAACGTTGTTTCTACGTCATTTTTCATCAGAAAATTCTTTGCTCACCTGAATTTTCGCAAGGAGTCGGTTTTTAGTTCTGTATATAACCAGCCGGGGCAACCACACCACCATCACACTGATGATCAGGCTCACCACCACCACAAACGCCACCAGGCCGAAGGGTGGTGAGCTTTCTGAATAAATGACGTCATCACACAGAGCATCGTATGCGCACGCTGGACTCATCACGCGCATGGGTATCTGGGTGGGTTGATGGATACTGAATTATTGAGGTTAAAATTACCATTGAGACTGAAATTAAATAATTATATCGAGAACGTGAGGTTAATTACTGCCACTATGCAGTTAAGCGTTGACTGTGAAGCGTAAAAAGCTTAGCTTCACCTTATATGCTGACAGCAATTACTTTGTACACTCGGCAAAATTAATATGTCTTGTTGTTCAAATAGTGACACACTTCCCGCATGTAGCTCTGATACGCCCTTTGACAGGAGTAAACTGAGTTAGAGTTGCCCGTGGCAAAAGGTACATCGCTGTTTGAAATAAGTCTCGCTCATATCAAGGACTGCCCCTTTGTTTCATCTACATGGGCTATACAGCGAGCTGATCTTGTCAAGTGGAGGCTGTATAATTGTTACGAGTTCGTCCTCCGTCAGCCAATCATTGAAGGATTTTTAAACTAAACCCACCAACCACAAATCTGAAATCGGCCGCTACGTGTACTTAGCCTGCTATATACGTGTACTTAGGCCGCTACAAGTACTTAAGCCGCTATGTGTACCTAGGCGGCTACGTGTATCTAGGTCACTACGTGCACCTAGGCCGCTACCAGTACTTAGGTCGCTACTTGAACTTAGGCCGCTACGTGCACTTAGCCAACTACTTGTACTTAGGCCCCTACGTGCACTTAGCCCACTACTTGTACTTAGGCCGCTACGAGTACTTAGTAGGCCGCTACGTGATCTAGGTCACCACGTGTATTTAAGCAACTTTTGATAGTTCAGCCCCATATATCATACCTGTCATGAAGGTTGGCATTAAACTTACCCTGTACGCTGCTCCATCCACGATGCAACATTTTTGCTCGTCAGACTCCTGCTGTAGTTGATGATGTTGATGTTGTAGTTTGTTATGTTGATGCTGTGGTTGATGTCCCGACACGATGACTGCGTGTCTGCACAGCAGAGGATGACTGAAGAGGTGTAGAAGCAGTACCCGAGACCAGCGTTCTGCACCGCACTGCACCGTAGACATGATCCAGTATCTATGCAGCTGTGCAGTGAAACATGAATAAATTATTTCAGACACCAAAAGCATATTTTTCTAGAGGAAATGAATTTCTAAACATATTTACCTGTAAAAATTGCAGAATAATGGTCAAATGGTGCAAAATGCACACGTTTGATTAGCACGACAAAGAATTTTTCAATCGAATGATTATTTTTCCATCTTTTACTTACGTCTGTTTTCCTTTCACTGAATGTCGGCATCACAGAAGATACCACTTTTCAATATTATACAAAATTTCCGTTTATTTAAAACTTAAAAAGTTGGATCCTATAGCACATCTAGAGGATGTTATATTAGTAATGAAAGAGTAATAATAAATTGTAAATAATATAAATTAAATATATGATTAAATAGCTGGTATTGAGATGGTCAGGAGTGTGGGATGGGAGTGCTTGAGTCATTTTAAACGAGTTTGGTATGTTTAAATCGAACATTGCCGAACATATTGCGAAACACATTTGAATAATTGTTTTCATTTTTGTAATTATGTTTTAGTCGCGTTTTTAACCACTACATACGTGAACACGACTGCAGTCGTATTTTTAACTGAACATTGAAAGGGCATTAAGGACTAAACAATACACTAGAAATGAGTAGTTAGCACTTAGTACTAGTGCACTAATCATCGAGCAGTGAGCACTTAGCACATAGTCCTAGAGCACTTAGTACTTAGTACTAGAGCACTTAACACTAAGTTCTAGAGCACCTAGCACTTAGTTCTAGAGCACTAATCATTAAGCAGTGAGCACCGCCAGACAACATATATGTATAGATAGCTGTTACCTGAAAGTAGTAGATATTAGTGATGCGAACCAATTATAATTATATTTGTTTTGATATAATTATAACAAACATAGTTACAATAATAAATACGAACTGCTAGCTCTGATAAAAAAATTAAACCAGCACTGGAAAATGAATAATGAATAGTACACTGTCCTCCCACTGACCGCCGCTACACTGTCCTCTCACTGACCGCCGCTACACTGTCCTCCCACTGACCGCCGCTACACTGTCCTCCCACTGACCGCCACTACACTGTCCTCCCACTGACCGCCGCTACACTGACCGCTGCTACACTGTCCTCCCACTGACCGCCGCTACACTGTCCTCCCACTGACCGCCACTACACTGTCCTCGCACAGATCAGTGTACAGCGACTGCCCCTACACTGTACAGCCACTGCCGGTACACTGGCTTTGTCCTGATCTGTTATCAGTGAACTAACGAGCTTATCAGTGAGCATTAAAGATAACACAATTTCACTTCCATATGTACACTAACTTCGAATAATAGGTGAATAACATGTTCATAATTGAATTGGTATTATCATGAATGACACGAGTACTTAGTGAATAGATAATTTTGGAATTTCGATTTATGCAATTTTAATGCAGGTATCAATAAATAATATAGCAATTAATATTTGCTGCATATAAGGATATTTTCCCCGGTTTTCGACACTAAAAAATGTAGAATTCCACAAATAAACTAAAATAAAAACCAACGCATTTTGTAGTGAGAAAATCGGTGAATTGATTACAGCGCTGTTAACTGCACTTCAGACCATTCGGAACACCCACTAAAATTGTAATAGTGTCCAGAAAAAAACGATCAGCTTTAGAACTTCATAAACTAATGAAAACAGCGTTATTTGACGGCACATTTTGTTCTTATTTTTTTTTACTTTTTGATGTTCGAATTTTTTTATAGTGGTTTCAGCGTTCAATAGGCCGTAGACCTGTCGCCGATTCTTAATATAGCAGAGCATCCACAGCTTGTTGTTGTCTCGAACATGTAAGTCACAGATCCGATTTTTGCTTTGCTTAACCGCCCGGCCTCCTTGCCGATTCTGACCAGAAACTGGCGCATAGAGCTGGGATCGAACCCGCGCCTCTCTGCGCCAATCTTGGTACTCTGAACTGTAACCACTGGGTCACTCTTATATAGATGTATTTTCTTTTTGTGTTTAATTGATCTACATTAACCGAAGACACATGTGACTGAAGATGTTAATAAAGCAGTGCAAAACTTGTGAGGGTGACCATTTTACCATTAGGAAATTAAAATTTTATCCGACAATAAAACACTAACACTAATGAAATCAATAAATCTAATCAAATTTATAACGGGAATTAAATATAGTAAGTTGAATGGGTTTTCTATGGTATTTTTTCGATTGATGTTTCCTGGTTTGCTTATTTTTTTGAAATACGAGGGACTAAAACCTCCTACAACTTCCTATGCCGAGGATTATGTGGATTAATTTGCCTGTTATTTTTTTGAACTTAAAAAAAAATTACAAATGGCTGCAATTGACTTAAGGCAAACTTTGATAACACCATAAAAGAAATGACAGCCAAAAATGAAAATCAGTGAAAAAATGAAATGATTTATTGATAAGACATTCACTTACACTAACAAGATTTCACTATAGAAATCTTTTCTGTTTCGTCGTTTTACGGCGCACAATATATTTTATTTTATTTGTTTTCCAGAGCTTAATAACTCACATCGAGTTGTTCATCGATCCATTAACAGGACTTTAACAACGGCTTCATTCGTCATTTCACATTTTAATGCAATTTTGACGATTAATAAGTAAACTTTTATTACTAAGAGTTAAATCTATAAAATATTATTCACTCCGCGTTTATTGAAGAGACTCAGAATTTTCCAGTTGCGGGAACAGTCAGTTAAGAACAGTATTTTCCGATAAGCTGATATTCAAAAAGCCCATCTAATCCAATTTTAACTAATTTTTCAGCAGTAGAAATTTTTATGACGGATGTAACTTTTTTCGCGAAGAAAAACGTGAAATTTGATAAAACTATATCGATTTTTTATTCATAAGCAGAGTGATAAGAAAAATGCTTGCGAAAATCGGTTAAAATGAATTTTGAATGTCGTCGATGGATTCCGGAAGCAGAAATAATTTTTTTTTTTCAAGTTAGATTTCTGGAGGAATACCACTATGAACTAATGAAGAGGCCTTTTTGATCATTTATGGCGGAAACACGAACATTATTCGGAAAAAATTGTACGCAATCATGAGCTCTGTGGATGGAGGAAATATATCATAAAAATATTGTTAATTAAAGTCGCAGAAAAAAGCGTATGTTTATTGGCAGCTTTTATACCCAGAGGGAGAAAGCAAGATAAAGTTATAAAATTTTCCTTAACACATTAACAAAAATATAACTTGATGTACTCATTATTGTTAAAAGAGCTAACTAAACCAATCATTTAGAAGTGGTGAAATATAATTATATTTATTCTTCATCGCGAATAATTTTCATAAAACAGGTTTTTCACTTCTAAAACAACTAATAACGTTTTTGTATATATGCAGCGGAAACAACTATAATGTAAAATCGAGGCAATACAGAAAGAATGCAGAATGTTGAGGATAAAAAACAAAGATTCTTACAGTCAAAGATCAGTGTAGCATCATACCTAAAATAAATTGAAATCAACTTTTCATGTTCATTGAAGCGCTAAGTACAACACTGCATTTTGCGATTGATTATTTTTTCCCGTTACGAAGTTTGCTGCAATAACTCATTTATTATGATGATGGCTAGATAATATTGAATTTGAAACGCTGTAAGAAGCTTTGGTGTGAAGCGAAACATTATTAATAGCTAAGAAAACACGTATTGTAAAATATTTAGCACTGGTTGAGTGACTTGATATTTTTATACTAATTCATGCCACGTCGGTTCTGAATGACCGTAACCGTAACAGTCACAATCAGAAGGAAGTTTCTTATAATGTATTTCTTCCAAATTAACTTTAAGAATAAATATAGAGAAACAAACTCGTCCATAGTGTTGTAAATAAAGAAATAGGAAAACGAAATTGTTTTTTTAGACATTCGTAAAATTCAATTTAAACGTAAAATGTAATTCAGCATTTCATTGATTTCAAGCTCATTGTAGAGCTAGCTCAGCAAACACGATAAACAGAAACGATTATACAAGCCTGAAAAATGACAAATATTTTTGCAAGCCCAGAAAAGGACGATTCCAAGCCTAGAAACAACGATTCCAAGCCTAAAAAAGACTATTCCAAGCCTGGAAAAGTATGATTTCAAAGACCTAAAAAAAGTCTATTCCAAGCCAGAATAAGGAATATTTCATGCCGGAAAAAAAGTTTCGTAGCCTGGAAAAGGACGAGCCCACTCCAGGAAAAGGACGAGTCTAAGCTTGGAAAAGGACGAGTCCCAGCCTGGAAAAGGACGAGTCCAATCCAGGAAAAGGACGAGTCCAAGCCTGTAAAAGGATGATTCCAAACATGAACATGATCGATTCTAAGCCTGGAGGCTACGAACCGAAAGGATTTATATGTGTTCTATCTACTGAGACGACATCATTTCAGTGTTACGTAATATTAGCACTTAACATTACAACACAAAAGTAACCACTCGACACACATGAGCTGGACACGAACACAGTACTTTGAGCTCGAATCTTTCAAAGCACAATCTCAATGCCGTTATGTTGTTGATTATGAACATCTTTCCTTTTGCAAGCCTCACGAAGCAGTCGTGAATGTATCAAATAAAAAATTTTGACCCATTACACCCTTTCTATGCGTGAATGAAAATTTTTGTAAAATGTTTTATTCAGAACCATCCCAAGTTGAAGCTTCAGATTCATACAAAGATTCTTATATTCGTCACGGTACGAAATGAATTTATTATCTATAATGCATAACACCTGTCTGACTATATATTAATATCAGAATTATCATTTGCCTAGAGTTATGAATTTATGTAAGAATTTAACACTTTTCTTTGCAACGGGGCTTTAAACGTTGAAATTATATTTTAACTCTAACTTTTGCTTAGTGATATTAACTTGAAGAATGATGTTTCATTTTGATTTAAATAAAATGCGTAAATACAAAGCAGCGCAGCTTTCAAAGCTTACATTTTATATACATTTATAAACAAGAGATGATTCAATACATTATTCATTTAATGGTTTTTCAGTGATTAATTTAACTTCTTGTGATGAAAAAGATATTCATGCAGTTGGGGAAAATATCATTATTTTCAAATGTACTTATAACTAATCACTCACTTATGTGACATATATTGCTTAGATACAAACAACAACAACAGCTAACCATAAACAATTAATTGCACTACAAACACATGAAGCACTCGCACGTAAATAACTTTATTTCTAATTAACTATCTGAAGGAAAAGTTCTTATAATGATCAAGACGTCTTTTTTATTTTGAAAGCAATGAAGTTCAAATTTTATTTTATCGTCCGCTATTTACTGTAATATTTTTAACCATTCACCGTTTGTATGATTTCTTATTATGGAGCAGAATTTGTATTTATTTATTAACGCGAAATAGTTTAGACAACCGAATTAATTCCATTAATACACATCCACATACAGGCCAGACTTCGCCACTTAACATGTAAGCTAGAAATTAGCAAGCCATTTGCAGCGAATAAAATTAGAAAATTTATTTGCAGTGAAATTTGGCGCCAAATTAGCCGGTCACTTACCGCGAATAAAATTAAAAAATATATTGCCGCGAAATTAGCCAGCCATATGCAGCAAATAAAATAAAAACTTTATTTGCCGCAAAATTAGCCGGCCATTTGCCGCGAATAAAATTAAAAATTTAATTTGCCACGATATTAGCTAGCATTTGCCGCGATTAAAAATAACTTGAACAAATCGTCTCTGCACGCTTGAATGCAGTAGAACTTTGTGCAGAAAATGTAACTCATTCATGCCGAGTATTTAGTACTTAGAATTTTTGATACCTTGCATAAACTTAATTGCCTAACATTTTAACATAGTTATTTTTTAAGTTATTTTAACAACTGCATTCCCTGCATGCAATGTTAGGTTGAATCAACGTTGAAACAACAAAACTCACGATGTTGAAATAACGTTGAATATTAGTTTAGAATGAAAATTGAAGTAACGTAATTTTTTAACGTCTTTCATTTCTACGCTGTTTCAGCGTCAAAATCGCGTTGACATATGACAGTATGCCGTCGAAATTTTAAAATAACCTATTTAAACATGACAGAAAATATAAATCAAGACATTAAACATTTAGCTCACGAACTATGTACAATTTACAACGTACACTTCTTTTTATTTCTCAATTGAGGCGTAACTTCTACTCCGCAATGCTCCGCTATGCTAACTGAAATATGAATATTTATTTTTATTGCTTTTTAATTTCTAGCTATATTACGATTCAGCAAATCGAGCGCTCTAAGTACTTCAAAACTTATTATGAATAAGGTGTTAAAAGCGCAGAATTAATTCATTCAATTGATCTTCATCTAAGATACTGACCTTAGAAAAAAAGTAGAAATTTAATGATATTTGGCTAGTCAAGAAATCATCAAAATTATTATTTCATAATCAGCCAAATTATTCATCTGGTATTCTTGGTGCATGAAAATGCATGAACTAGTCATAAAATAACAATGTAATTGAAAAAATTTGCAATGTCAACAAAAACATGTCATAAACTTCCAAAAGCAAGATTATTTATTTCAAGCATTGCTGCCGAGACTTTTACCCTTGATGAACTTTTTAACTAACGTTCGTGGAAAAGTGAGTGGTAGTTGATGAAGAATCTATTACATTGATATACAATTAATTGGCTATTGTTAACGGTATTTGACTTTTCATACATAAATATATTCTATGAAGCAAAATTTCTAATGGCTGAAACGAATTCGGAATCTTGAATCCTACCTAGTTAGATACGCACTAGAAAACAATGAAATTAACTTTTTCTAGCTTCTTTCATGAATGCTGGTCATCGTTATTCAGAATGTCCCACGCTCGCCATTCAAAGCATTTGTAGATACAACATGATTTAAATGGTATTTAAGTAGTTTTAAATTAGGTAATTCGGAGGCAGAAGAGAACGATTGTGCTTTACTAAAATCCTGCAGCGTGCTTAATCCATTGGCTCTCATACTACGGCCTTGAGAACATCACTTCTAAGATTGTACACTTATGAGACGACACAATAATACTGACAGCTTTACGCTTCATTCTTGCATTGCATTTACATGCACTGTCCACTACATATTGCCATGTGCAACTCTTGTTGACTTGCTTTCTTATTTTGTTGAGCAGCGACTTATTTTTAAAACTTTTTTGTATTTGAAGATATTTTATTAAACAGTTAAGACCATTTTTCAATTGGCACGAATTTTGATCACTTCAATGATGCAGGGATATACGTTTGGTGTATAAGAAGTGCAAAAAAATTTCCCTTGGCTTAATCACAACTTTCGAGTCTTGTACAGATTAAGTCTTTCTATATTGTTTCAAATCATGAGTATCGTTGGCTTCTTTGTAATAATCTTAAAGATTACTACTAAAAAGTAGTAGTAGTACGCAATACTTCAGCAATACTTCAATTTTACTTTTACTTACTCAGCACTCTGTTAAATAATGAATAAATTACCGGTCACTTTTGATCTTCGTGGGTACCATTTACACAAACTCAGTTACTTTCGAAGTTATACTCCACCAGGCTTCTGACTTTGAAACAACGTTGGTGTAAAGTTGTCTCAACAATTTTAACCTGTAATTAACGATGTTCCAACGTACTGTAAGTGTTCATTGAGTCAAACCCCTACAATCATTTTCGTACTATGACTGAAATTTTATTGCGTTGCAGCAAAGACGTCGTAGGAACAAATGCTGCTGGGTCCTTAATGTGCCTTGTCAGGCTGAGGAAAATGTCTTCCCTCTTAAGAAATTTCAGGAGTTTTCGGTTGCGAGGAATTATACTTTTGGATTTTCTGCTAATCAGAAATAAGTGTCCATTTGAGTATTGTACAACATATATATTAGATGAGTTATAGAATAATTTAAATAGTAGCAACACGTTCTCTACATTTGGACGATGAATTTATAGCCACAAGAAATCCGCATTTTAATCACCAAAAATTCTTAACAGTTTGTACTGCGCAATTTTGAGACTTGATCGAAAATCTAGTCGCTTTTCCGTTTATTTCAATTGGCTTCTGGCGGATTTCGATTCTTTATATTAAGAGAGAATATCTCTATTATTTAATGACTCGTAATAGGACTAGAGGATAGGCGTGCTGATATTGGCCCGCTCCATATCTTCATATCTGCCCATTGGCGCACCTGGGGCCATACTTTCAAAACTCGCTAAGTGAACGTAAGTACTTACGCTCTATTTTCTTGTCTATGGTGGATTTTGCTTGAGAGGCTGATGAACTTACGAACTCTTAACTTTTTTAGAAAGTATAGGCCCTGGCTATTATCGGGACTTAAAAGAAAATTTAATTAAGTTGGTGTTCAGAGTCCCTACACCGATCTCTTTTTCTGGCAGTCTTGAGTTTGAGGGCGTCTTCAAGTCTTAAAAGTCCATGAGTACAGCTATTATCGCTGGACTGGCGCAGTCCAGACCGCATAACAGCAGTGGACTGAGATGTGGCCGTGAGGGTAGACTGGGCTGGAGACTGGCAGTCTTTCTTCAGCTCTTTCTCCAGCACCTTTAGCCTCCTAATCCGCCCTGGGTATAAAAAATTATTTACATTATTCTTAGATAGTTTAGAGAAATTGGTATATTTTAGTTAATTAATTAATTACAATTAATAATTAATTATGTTCATTTCCACCTAATCTTCTCTCTTTATTCCGTCTTCGTTAATTTTCCTATTTACGATAAAACTTATTATATTTTCATGAGAAATAGTGTAAAAAGGAAAATTATTCGAAATCATATTCAATAACTCTCATTAATTTATATCTTATTATTATTATTGTTATTATTAATATTATTATTATTATTATTATTATTATTATTATTATTGGTAATTGTTAATTGCTATTTATTGAGATCTTACTTTCATTGGTGCCCCCCACGGACACGAAGCTGAACGAAGAGGTAAGCCTGCTGTACATCTCGTGATTGATGTTCTGCACGGTGACCTCCTCTAGCCACGACCCCTTCAGGATCAGGCGGTGGTGCTGGATATAGCGTTCACCTTGGTTGGGTTGTTGAAGAGGCACGAATAGGTACTATGAAAGGAGTGGAAAGAGCCATTTTATTTATATTTATAAGGTATTTATGTTTATACCGTATTTATATGTATGCCGTACTTATATTATTACCACATTTATATCATAATTCTGCTAGATTCATTGTTTACTAAGAACTTAAAGGCATAGAAAAAAGTCAATCAAGTTGAAAATACGGCGGTATTAAACATCTTCAATGAAGATATGGTGAAGAAGAAAATGAATTATAAAATAAGTATTTGGTATTTTATTCGATTTTTAATTCTTGATAGAGACTGTAGGGTAAGCTGTAAATTAACCGTAGTTGACGAATAAGTTTCTGACTGCAGTCAGTGGAGAAATCCGTAATTAAGATTCAGGATTCAATTTGGAGCTTGTTAATAAAATTATGGCAAGGCAATTTTTTGGGGAAAAATACAATAGTATTATCCGTGGTACATCACGTATCTATTTGAACTAATAAAAAAATGTCAACGAACATGTAAACAAGAATAGAGACATGTCAATAATAATTCACATGACAAAAACATGTCAACGAACATGTAAACAAGAATAGAGACATGTCGACAACAATAGACTCATTTGAATAATAATTAACATGTTAAAACATGTCAATAGCAGTATACACATGTCAACAAACGTGTCAACAACAATAGGCCCATGCAATACAATACAATACAACAATAAAAGAGACAAATTTCACCAACTATAGGCGCATGTTAACTACAATAGGCACACATCTACAACAACAGTAAAAAAGTGTCAACAAACATTTCAACAACAGTAAAAAAGTGTCAATAAACATGTCAACAACAATGAAAAAATGTCAAAAAACAAGTCAATAACAAAAAATGTCAACAAACATGTCAACAAGAATAAAAAATGTCAACAAAAATGTCCACAACAATAAAAAATATCAACAAACATATCAACAACAATGAAAAAAATGTCAACAAACATGTCAATAACAACAAAAATGTCAACAAACATGTCAACAACAATAAAAAATGTCAATAAACATGTCAACAACAATAAAAAATGTCAACAAACATGTCAACAACAACAAACATGTCAACAACAATAAAAAATTTCAACAAACATGTCAAAAACAATAAAAAATGTCAATAAACATGTCAACAACAATAAAAGATGTCAACAAATATGTCAATAACAATAAAAAATGTCAACAAACATGTCAACAACAATAAAAAATGTCAATAAACATGTCAACAACAATGAAAAATGTCAGCAAACATGTCAACAACAATGAAAAAATGTTAACAAACATGTCAACAAACATTTCAACAAACATGTCGCCAACAATAAAAAATTTTCAACAAACATGTCAACAACAATAAAAAATGTCACCAAACATGTCAACAACAATAAAACTGTCAACAAACATGTCAACAATAATAAAAATGTCAACAAACATGTCAATAACAATGAAAAATGTCTGCAAACATGTCAACAACAATAAGAAATGTCAACAAACATGTCAACAACAATAAGAAAAGGTCAACAAGCATGTCAACAACAATAAAAAAATGTCAACAAACATGTCAATACCAATAAAAAATGTCAACAAACATGTCAACAACAATAAAAAATTTCAACAAACATGTCAAAAACAATAAAAAATTTCAATAAACATGTCAACAACAATAAAGGATGTCAACAAATATGTAAACAACAATAAAAATGTCAACAAACATGTCAACAACAATAAAAAATGTCAATAAACATGTCAACAACAATGAAAAAATGTCAACAAACATGTCAACAACAATAAAAAAATTTCAACAAACATGTCAACAACAATAAAAAATGTCACCAAACATGCCAACAACAATAAAAAATGTCAACAAACATGTCAACAACAATAAAAAATGTCAACAAACATGTCAACAACAATGAAAAACATTTCAACAAACATGTCAACAACAATAAAAATTTCATCAGACATGTCAAATAAAATGTCAACAACAATAAAAATATCAACAACAATAAAAAATGTCAACAACAATAAAAAATGTCAACAACAATAAAAAATGTCAACAACAATAAAAAATGTCAACAACAATAAAAAATGTCAACAAACCTGTCAACAACAATAAAAACATGTCAACAAACCTGCAAAATCCTGGTTATGGGATTACGGGAGTCACATTTCCAGACCGCGTAAGTGGACCGCGCCGGCAAGCACTTGACGGTCCGGCCGCCGCCCCCGCCGCTCAGCTCCTGAGACGCGCGCCCGCCTCCCGACGACGGCAAACTGCCTGCAAGCACCACAACATGGCACTCTCAGATAAATTAATGGGTCAAAATAAGACACATATGACGCATTTCATACAATTGAAACCAGAAATTGACACACTATCTTGCCCACAGTACGAGCAGATAGCGCACGTAGCACTGATACGCCCTTTACAACATGGCACTCTCAGATAAATAAATGGGTTAAAGTAAGACACATATGACGCATTTCATACAATTAAAACAAGAAATTGACACACTATCTTGCCCACAGTACGAGCAGATAGCGCACGTAGCACTGCTACGCCCTTTACAACATGGCACTCTTAGATAAATTAATGGGTCAAAATAAGACACAAATGACACATTTCATACAGATGAAAGAAGAAAGTGACACACTTTCTTGCCCACAGTACGAGCAGATAGCGCACGTAGCATTGATACGCCCTTTTGCGCGGAGAAGGTGCATCAGGATGACCCACGCAAGACAATAAGTAGACAATCACTTTTTAAACATAGTCTAACTCATTCCTCTGAGTGCACTCTCTGAGGTATTCACTCTCACATTCCTCTGAGGTATTTTTTATGTACACGTACAACGTAGCATTTCCATACGTGGGTGACACATTTGAAGTATTATTAAATAATCATGTTTTCAAATTTAAAGTATTAGTCGCGTATTATATAATGTAATATAATCATACTATCACATTTGAAGTATCAGTCGCGTATTATTCAAACATCCGTGCTAGATATAATAATAAGGTCTTAGTAATGCAATCCTACACTTGAGAAACATCTAAGGCTGTAAAATTCAGGGACAGGATGTATTTAAATATATGGAAGACTTGTATTTTCAATTCTCTAATTATATTTAAATATTATTTGAAATGTTATTCCAATTAAATTTTACGATAGCATGTTAATTGTTGTTTTTTCATTGAATATATGTAATAATTCGGTAAATTCAAGAATTTCATATTTTTTCTCAACAAGTCTATGCAGACCCTAATCATTCTAAGTGAACTGTTGAACCTTAGAAACGTTTGCAAAAAGGAGGCATGGATCTGGCTTGATAAATTTTGCATGTTGGAGTCAGTGGTTGAACAAACGAAGATAAACGATGCGATAAAAGAAATATTTTTGCATCACGGAACAAAACATAATAAGATAAAATTGTTATTTCAGCATTAGGTACGAAAGACACCAATAATTATTCGATATATGTTCAAAAATATCCTAAATGTTATATGCCATCCATTTGTGTGGTGTCATCCAGTGACTCATCAAAATGTTTTACGATGTTCAGTGACTCATCCAAATGTTTTACGATACCCAATGACTCATCAAAATGTTTTACGATGTCCAGTGACTCATCAAAATGTTTTACGATGTCCAGTGACTCATCAAAATGTTTTGCGGCATCCAGTGACATTTTAAAGTATTTTACGGCATCCATTGACTTACCAAAATATATAACAATGAAAATTTATAAGGTTTGTTTGGAGCCTTCGTCATCCATTTTGATGACTTCTAAAGAAAATATTCGCATTCGATATTCGATTTTTTCAAGTTAGAGAAACCTCGGAATGTTATCAATTAGTATCATTTTAACAATTGGAAAATCATACAATAATACCGGCTGCTCTCATTTAGGAATTTGGTAAACTTACACAACGCTCATTTACTAATAAATTAGCTTTCTTCAGCAAATTAATATGATAGTAAAATTATTAAATCAGACAATGTAGTTTGTCGACACATTAACCGATGCAGATTGCTTTCAAGTAATCAAGTTTTAGTCAATATCGAAGGGTCAGTAGTTTCTTGGCCCTGAGACAGTATCTTTCTTCACTGGGGAAGAAAGATACAGTCTCAGGGTCAATAGACTGTTTGTGACTTCTCAGACTTCTTTCAGTTTGTGAGTTTGATGTTGAAAGGACAAGCTGTAACCTTGACTGGCGTTCTGAGACCCTCATTCGACGATTGTACTCTTTCAACAATTGGGAGGAAGTCTAGCGAGGGCTGCGAGAGGGAAACTTCGGTGATTAGTGTCATCTTCTATCACTTGCTGGCCATCGAAGCCGGCATATCGACGTGCATTGGCGATTGCTGATAACCTGGAGGAAAAACTTGGTCTAGACATCACAAACCATCATTTGGAATAACCCAGACCGAGCTATTTACTCCAATTGGTTGCGGTGTGCTGCATTTTCGGCTCTCCGAAGAGACATACGAACGCGCTCGAGCGAAAGCCAGACGTACAAAAAGGCATCGTCTTACCATGTCAAAAGACAACCCAACACGGAAATGAAAAATTAAGCTTTAGTGGAAACTTTACGCGGACAAAAATTTGAATAAATCTGCGTCCACGTTAATTTGGGGAGATATGGAGCTTGGACACAGAAGCGGCAGGTCTAAATTATCGCCCCACAAAACCAGCGGTCTTTATATACGGGTTGTTAAATTTATTGTTTCCACAAATGACCGATTTTTGTTCCAAGTTCCTATTTCACTTGATATTGAAATTGGTATATAATACACATTAAGTTTGGATGTAGCGGTGCATTTAGTATAGTATTTGTTATGGTGCCACAAATTCATGTAGGCAAATGGTTCTTAATTCCCAATCTCCAAGCAAAAAAAATTTGATATAATCAATGAAAATGTTCAATTTCACCCTGAAATACCCCCGTTTCTGGCGAAACGGGGGAATTTGTTTTCTCAAGGCGTCAAACATCACTAGAATTTCATGAATATAATATGAAAATATCTCACTGAATTCCAACCTGAGCAATAAAAATATTTCATATGCAACAATTTCTTCCAACGACTTCTCACTCGTCAGATACAAGACTGAAAAAGATTATTCGCTGATTCCTAATCTCATCAAAAATCCCAATCATCACCCAAAAGATTTGAGGATTTTCATCACAATTGAGCGCACTAATAAATTGTTCAATTTTAAATGTGGGCGAGCAAAGATTTCCTTCTTAATTACGACATCGAGAAGTGACAGGAAAAATAATAAACTGGAAATAATGATAATATTATTTGAAGTGATAATTGTGTTCAAACTCTAACCAGCAACGCTGTTCGTGTGCCACGGACAATTTTCGTGACATGAGATTGTAACGGGTAGCTACAGCGAACTGTTGTACCAACGCTCTTGTCTTGTTGTAAACTTCCTATGAAATTTATCGATTTACTCAAAACATTCAAGATTGAAAGAAATTCCAATAAATCTGCATACCTACGAAGACATCGCACAGATGCCTTATTATAAAGTGCTAATCAATCGCGGATACGTGGAAAATTATCGGTTAATTCAAGTGTAAATAAATAAGTAATGGTATAGTTGTGGAAAAATAGTTCTTAAATGCTCATTTTGTTGAAGACATGAGAGTATATCTTGATAATAAGATTACAATAAGAAATACTCTCCCGTTTTGAACGAGACGTGCATTTGAGAACTCATATTATATTTAAAATAATTCATGTTATATAGAAAAGACGCAACAAATATATTGATAAAAATCGTTATTTGGTCTTTAATCGCGCTTGCATAAAGAAATTAATGAAAGCAAGCTTTGGACGATGACAGTATCAAGGCCACATCACGAGGTCACTCTCCTACCCCGAAGCTGGGAAGGGGGGGAAACATCGGTGGCCAGGGGGTTACTAGCACTAATAACTATCAATAATAACTAGCAAAAATATTATTACTAGCAATAGAAAGTATATACTCACTCTCGTCGTTCTGGGATTGACAGACGGGACAGCAGCGGCCGTCTATCTTGACGGGATGGTCGCACGGCAGCTCGCTCCGCGACGCGCACTTGATACGCGCGCAGCCGATGGTGCCTGTACACGGAGGATTATAGTCTCTGGGACTAGTAATTAGCAGGTCTCTGGGACTAGTAATTATTAACAGGTCTCTGTGACCAGCAGTGAGCAGGTCTCTGTGACTAGCAATTAGCAGGTCTCTGGCACTAGTAATTATAGCAGGTCTCTGTGACCAGCAATTAACAGGTCTCTGTGACCAGCAATTTGCAGGTCTCTGTGACTAGCAATTAGCAGGTCTCTGTGACCAGCAATTAACAGGTCTCTGTGACTAGCAATTAGCAGGTCTCTGTGAACAGCAATTAGCAGGTCTCTGTGACTAGCAATTAGCAGGTCTTTGTGACCAGCAATTAACAGGTCTCTGTGACTAGCAATTAGCAGGTCTCTGTGACTAGCAATTAGCAGGTCTCTGTGACCAGCAATTAGCAGGTCTCTGTGACCAGCAATTAGCAGGTCTCTGTGACTAGCAAGTAAGAGGTCTTTGTGACTAGAAATTAGCAGGTCTCTGAGCCTGGCAATTAACAGGTCTCGGTGACTAGTAATTATCAGGTCACTATGACTTGTAATTATCAAGTCACTGCGCCTGGCAATAACAAGTCACTGAGCCTAGTAATTATTGCAGGTCTCGCTGACTAGAAATTATTAGGTCACTGTGCCTGGTTATAACAGGTCTCTCGGATTAATAAGTAACAATAACAAGCCTCTGTTATTTAATAATTAACAAGCCTCTGTTTTAGCGTTAACAAGTCTCTGCTATAACGGTAACAGGTCTCTATGACTAGCAATTAACGGAAGCGTGCTTTCAAATCTTACTTCAGTACACGTAGCGGCTGATTTAAGTTAGCGGTTAGTGAGTTTAACGTGGAAAACCTTCTTGAAAAACTGACGAAGTTAGGAATTTTTGACCATTTTTGATAGTACGACCCCGGACATATTAACAGGTCTAGGTGTTTATGTTTAGCATTAACGGGTCTATGTGCTTGGTATTAAACGGGCCTCACCCGTTATTGCAGCGGCACGTTACTCACCGTTATTGCAGCGGCACGTTACTCACCGTTATTGCAGCGGCACGTTACTCACCGTTATTGCAGCGGCATTTATTGCAGCGGCATGTTACTCACCGTTATTGCAGTGGCATGTTACTCACCGTTATTGCAGCGGCATGTTACTCACCGTTATTGCAGCGGCATGTTACTCACCGTTATTGCAGCGGCATGTTACTCACCGTTATTGCAGTGGCATGTTACTCACCGTTATTGCAGCGGCATGTTACTCACCGTTATTGCAGCGGCACGTTACTCACCGTTATTGCAGCGGCACGTTACTCACCGTTATTGCAGCGGCACGTTACACAGCTCATCTCCCCAAAAGGCCCTATGATCGGGTGCCACTTGGAGCCGTTGAGGAAATAGCGTTCCCCGCTGCGGCAGTCGCGGGTGCGGGAGGAGGGAGAGTTTGAAGGATCCGAGAAGGATATCTCGGACGGCCATTGCTGCTCCGACATTGCTGTGTCTGTTCGGGTGTACGAGTTTAGTTAAATTTCTTGCTTCATTTTCACGACAATCAATGATATTTAATGGTAATTGTTGCCCAAAAATGTAATAACTGAAAGAATGTTTCTCGAATTGAGTCGTGGAAGATTCAGAGAATGATATCTTGAATGACCATTGCTGATCTGAAAATGCCGACATTTTCACGTCTATTAAAAATATTACGGGACAATAATTACTGTTACCAAAAAAGTAGCAGCAAATTATTTCTTAAATTGAGTAATGGCTGGATAATATATAATGTATCTGATTGCTGTGCAAGAAGAGGTTACTGCCTGGTTATAATTCAAACAAAGACATGCATGCAGGGTAGTCCCTCAAATATAAAAAAAAACTTTTTTCCTGGAAGAATTAATAGTCTGCAGGATTGCTTGCTTTGCAATTAAGTACTTATCTGCATGATTAACCCTTAATTACTGACTCGTCTGATAGATTGGTGTTGAAATAAACACGCGTATGCCAGCTTTTTTCATCGCTCAAACCCTAATAAAATTTAGAGTTGCCCCAGCTTCTGGTACACCAAATCAGAAGCTGACTCGTCCGTAGATTTTCACTGGGTAAACGGCACTGATCCAGACTCAACGTTTTGGCGCCTACAACCACGCGAATCTCCCACGGACATTCTTTAATAATATTGTATTTATTGGCCGCTAGCGTGACGTATCACCTGAGAATCTAGTCAGGAAGCCCCGACTTCAGAGCCATCGTCGACGGTGACGGTCGACTTTTACCGTAGACAATTTTTACTGTATAGAAAATATCCGTTCAGGTCCGGCTGACCATAGGATAGAAACTTGTCATTTTACTTCCACTTCGAGAGTGTCATCAAAACGAAGTTTTGCAGTTATAATATATCATGAATTTAATACATTTGCGTGAACATACATTTTCCATTTGCACTACCAAACTGTGAATTACCAAATAGGTATCTTTAATTTATATTTTTCTTTGCTGCGTTTTCTTCGCTATTGTATTATCTGCAAAAAAGATATTTGTGTGTATAATTCTTTTAGATAAGACAGAGACTTTTTTCATTAACTTGGAAAAAGGCAATCTGCGTAATATATGTACTGGTAAAAAGATACTAGCATGTTTCAATCTTTTAATAAGATTTAGTTCAAAAATGCTGATAATTAAGTTAATGTCGATTTGGAAAGCTTCAATTTGTTCCTACACTCAAGTGAGCAAAGTTTATTCTTGATATGAATATCCGTTATTCATTACATCGAGGTTTGATCATGTTCTTCATTTAATCTTGTGAATTATATTAACTATGTAAGACATTCTTCGGAGTGCAAGCCTCAGTCGAACATGGCTGGCAATGTGACCAATGACTAATATAATGTATTGATGGCCTCCGTACTGTGATCACATATTATTTACTTAATAAAGAGAAAGAAAATAATAATTTTATCATTTTGTTCAAAATTCTGAAAGAATTGACAGGCGATTCATAACCTGGAATGTCATAAAAAATTACACATTTTTTTACCAATTGTATTCGTGGTATTTGAATTATCTGGATTCAGAAATTTTGAAATGGAGAGGTAATGTTTTCGGAATTTAATTATGAAAAGGAGCATAACACATAGAAAAAACAAAAAAGGAATTCAGTTTAAAAAAAAAACAGAAAAATGTGTAAACTTAACTTTAAATATAAATAAATAAAAAGCTGTGTTGTGAAATCAATAGAACAGGCGTTAATTTTACTTGGTGTTTAGTGGGTGCTCGAACAACACTCAAAAATTTTATTCCGAAATTCCGGAGTCGCTCTAGATTATTTTGGGGATTTTTACGCGCTAAGTTAAACATGTATTCTCCTGAAGTCAACTTGATCACCTATAAAAATTCATGACCAACATATTGATAGACATGATCTCCAACTTAGGATATCGCTCTCATCTCGGGATTATAAAATTGTGATGATAGGAACTTGGGAAATATCGAAGCAGCAAAGTATTCATAAAATTTTGTTGTTTGAAAGGTGGGTGATAAAAATTTTTAGCCCTGGCTCAAAGTAAAAATATATGGAGTGTGGGAAATATTTCCTGAAATTGTTCATTTGCTCATTTCTGTTCTTTGCTATTTTTAATTTGTTCGTTGTTGTTATTTTGTTTATGTTGTATTCAGAGTTTTTTGTATTCAGTTCCGTAGTTTAAGTTGGTATCAGTTTTAGCTTGGGTTCAGTCATTCATTAATCAACATCCATAAGATTGAGTCTCTCAATCAGTACATCAAATCTCAATTATTCACTTTAGGACCAATAATTCTTCGACTTCAGCCTGCTCATGAATGTAAATTTTTGGATGCCTGTGGTAATTCAGCTTTAGGTAACGGTTCATAGTAAAACTTTTCATCTCATCCATGTAAAGAAGTTGCAATAAATCTGAGTTGAGTTCATATGAGTTAGTTTTGTCAGATTGACTTAAATAAAGTGACGTATTCTCACCACTGTGTGGTCAACGAACCTAGAAGTTTCCTAAATTCAAAAGTCCTTGCTAATAAATCTTATCTAATGATAACTAAGATGAATTATTAAGACCAATTAGGCTGTGAAGTATCAAGTGCGATCGAATTTAGCCAATTCATTTCTGTAGTCGCAATGAATCGTGAAGTTTGATCAATTTATTAAATTAAATGAGGCTGAAATAACGAGACTATTAAAAATTTCAAAATTTCTACAACTATTTTAGTTCCACTAATAACGTGAAAACAGAATATTAGCCCAGCGTGAATGTTTCGTACTTAAGGTGCATCGAGAGGCAGTACGACGTATCCATCTTTCAACTTTCTATGTAAAAAAAAAAACTTTTTATAGAATGTCATTTCGCCAATTACGTTGTTTGAAAATATTGTTGCAAAATAGAAATTCCACGCTACACTGAGAAGAGCGGTGATACTGCAACGCCAAAATTCAGTAAATTATAAAACATTTGATTGCGATGAAAATTTGAAATCTTAGCTAATGTTAGAATTATACATTTCAATTGGTTTAATGAAATTGTTCCTCTAACGAAATTGATTAAAAGCGTTGAAACCTACTCCTTAATAGAAATGTTTTCTCTGATTATTCAAATAAAATAATGACGAAAAATGTCATTGATAATAGCGATTACAATTTTTAAAATCGCATCATCACTAAAAATTGTGCAGTTGATGAAAGAAGCCGTTTCCTAGACCGCTATGCTCAGCTTACATACAGCAGGAAGAGCAATACAGAGAAAACTTTACTGCTGAAGTATGGAAAAAACGTACACGAACGATTTTATATGCACCAATTCAGTTCCGCATAGAATTTCAAATAAATTCAGAAAAAAAATTATTGGAGACAAAAACATTTGAATCAATTCCCGGAGATGCACATCTTCGTTATCACAACCAAAGCCGCCCCGAAATTTCCCTATAAACAAAAAGGAACTATCAATTTAGAGGATCAAATTCGAGATGCTCTTCTTCATTACCAAAACCACGGCCTCATATCGAAGGAACGTGAAGTCTTAAAACCGATATGAGACTAAAATAGAACCCGGAAGTCCCACTACTTGCTGATGCTTGCTGATAAATGCCAAGTTTTTCTTGGCTTGACGCCTGACCAGCGAAAGAACTTCTCACTGAGACGGTCTTCGCTGGCCTGAAATTGCTCGACTTCGTGGAAACAAATTTGTCGGGGAATTCTTGGCTGGGGACTTCTTCATATGGACTTTTTAGAGATGAGTAAGATCATTTTATGGTCGAGCGCCTAGTTCATTATTATCTATGGTTGTTGTTATAGTTGTTTTCTTGCTGTTTCGCTCGAGTCTATAAAGTGAGTTGCATAGACAAATAGTGGACGTGCGGGACAAACGAGTAAATTTACTTTCATATTATTAAACCAATTATGATTTAGTTAATGATCATTACATGAGCTTTTAGTTGTACACATTAGTCTACTGATATAATGTTTTAATAAAAAATTCAATTTACGTCAACATTCAATTTAACGAATAGCCGTAAATATTATGGTGTCAAGACACATATTTACCCCAATACGAGTTTAACTTGATTTTTACTACCAAATAACTGATAAAAAATCTTTTGATACGTGTATATAAATGAAATCAGAGATATGCGTATGTTTCAACATATGAAGACACACAGAGACTCCAATTCAACACTTGTCCACCCATATATATACCTTGGCTAGAGTGACACTCTCGGCTTAAAAACGGTGACAACTTTCTTTTTGAGTCCATCATGCAACTTTATCTTCATACGAACCCTAACTTCGCTAATTCGATTGTGATCGGTGGATCCTTTCCCTGACAACAAAAGTTTTGCTCTTAATATTAGGGGAGCGTTGCTGGATGTCGGCAACAAGAACTCCGGCATGGTCACCACAATAAAAAAAATTGAAGGTATTTCGAAGTTACGGAATGCCTCGGAAAATTAGGTTAACAACGAGCTGGCCGTAGCAACAAGCTTACTCGGCATTGCCTAACTCCTCTCTAGAATTGAATATTCAAAAATGAATAATCATTGCATACACGTAAGGCAAGTAATTCATTTCAGTGAAACGAATTTTAAAAGAAAATTTCCTGAAAAACTTTAACTCCTGAACAATTGCGTTAAACTTTATATTACGTAAGTTTTAAGTCAACCGACGTAAAAATTTGATGTCAACTTGTAAATGTCACTGCTGAAAAATTCAAGCGAAGTAAATTGAAAACCGATTAATTTATTCCTGAATAAGGAATATATTCCCTTGGAATTATATGACATTCCAACTGGATAATTTTTGGACGTTACAAAAATGTTTCGTCAAAATTTCATAATAAAATTTTATAATAGGAAAATATGTCTATGGAAGCGCACAAAGAGCTGAACGAAGCCAACCTCCTTATTTTTATAGACTTATATGAAGAGAATTGTCTGATGTGAGTCTGAATTGTTCTGAAATGAGTAGTGACTCCTCATTATCTACCCATTTGCTGAACAAAAAGTAGATCTTCTTCAGGAAACTTTCTCGGTAAAATAAAATGAAATTAAGTCAAACTTTGTAGCGTTCGTGAGGCTTTCGATATTTCAATGGAAATGCACCGTTCTTTATGCTGGCATAAAATGAACCTCGATAGAAGATAAATAATTTAACCATGGATCCAAGTTATTTCTACGAATTTGGATACGATAAATTAACTGACCAGTTGTCGTAGCACTGAAGGGACATTTATCTTGCTTTTATTCTGGCATTGATAAGCATATCATCATCGCAGCTGCCATGCATTAAGCAAAAGAGTCTATAAAATATCTGATAATTTAGCAGCCTCTCGTTTCATGAATATCCTGTAAACAGTGACATAAAAATCAAGAACTGATCTCGTCTCGGATCATACAGAGCTATGATCTGCTGCTGGATCCCTTAAAATGACACCAAATGCCCATTGACGGAATTCACTACCTGTAAATATTCACATTATGTTCGTCTCTTCGTTGAATTTTTCTCCTGACCTTCAAGATTCTTCAGACGCAGAAAGCCATTAACTTGAAGATTGTTTAATGTTTTGAGCAAAAGTTGCGCAAATGTCAGTTTCATTGCACTCTTTGATATTAATTATTTCAATACAAAGTATAGTTCCGCAGCTTTCTTGACAATTTGAACAGCATAGCAGAAAATATATTGAGGATGAAATCATAATTAGAAGATGCCTTGATTAAGTATGTTGTAGTCTTAGGATAACGATACGAACTCGTATTGTATAATATATAACGACATGAACTCTCAAGATATATATAACTGAAAGAATTTTAGGTACATTTTTCCGTTTAACTAAAATAATGCAAATGATTTTCTGCAACTCAAACACACGTGTTAAGAGATTGTTGTAGCGCAGTCAGGGAACATTGAAATGAAAGAGAAGTGAATGTGAAGGGGGGGGGGGAATTTTTGTAGCGAAGTAAGCTGACTCCTGTAAACTTCATCAACTTCATTGCTAGATGCCTTCCATCTCATTAATGCAGTATATTTCAATTGAATAGTAGTTTAAACCGAGATCTATGTAATTCACACGGAGGAATAATGTGAAAAATGAATATTAATAAACACGTAACCTAACAACCGTTAGCGTAAAAAAAATTAAAAACTCATTTAAAGCTTTGAATGTTGAATGCAACTTTAAAGAAAAAAATTGAAACAAAAATCAACAAAAAATGAAGTTCACGCAGGAAAGGAAACTAGGACGAGCATAAGATTCCAGTCTAGACAAAGACGAGTTTGGCTGGTCAGCTTTGAAAGTCCGATGTCTTCTTTTTAACGAGTCTTAAAAAACCGAACTGACCTCCTCAGTCTGCCAGGCTTGCCTAGCAACAGTGTCACTTAGTCCTCTGCATCTCACAGCAGCAGCGCAAAAAAACCTCATGGATGCCTCGTCTCGAGGCATAATAAAAAAAAGAAAACTTGGACCGCCTTTTATTCTTCGGTATCCAAGGCCCTTGTAAACGCTGACCTTCTTTTCTATCATTTGCTCATCGTGCGAATTAGGCAATGCAGATGAGGTAGGTAGCTATAACTTCATTTTGAAATATGACTATAATGTGGATGGAAAATTTTAAGAGAATTATCAAGAAAATTTATGCAATATTCGAAATCGCTGGAAAGACCGACGAGAAACGCAATTAATCGCAGTGGAACAAACTACAAACTTTCACATAAATAATTTTGATACTTTGCTGTGACATCAATATCAAACTTTTTAATCAGTGGAAACGTGTTCCATACTTATGGCAATATTAGAGGAGCAATTTTTCTAAAAATATTTACAGGTGAATGAATGTTATACGTTGATTAATCCCTTAATTCTATTAATCCTTTGATTGATACAACGGAATCGGCTGAAATAAACGCATGTAAAATCCTTAGCCTATTTACTTAAGTTATTAGAGAAGAAAAGTCTAATAAAAAAGTGCTTAGGACTTGACTATGAGCTTGATTGAGCGCCGACAAGTTTTGCGGAGTTGTGTTTTTTTTTTGTATTTTTTGCTTTGTTTTTGTGAGTCATGTAAATATGAGCAAACATATGCAATGGTCATTTGCAATTGCAATGGACATATGCAGTGTACATATGCAGTGCACATATGCAATAGACATATGCAGTGTACATATGCAGTGTACATGTGCAGTGTACATTTGCAGTGCACATAAGCAATAGACATATGCAGTGTACATAAGCAGTGTACATGTGCAGTGTACATTTGCAGTGCACATAAGCAATAGACATATGCAGTGTACATAAGCAATAGACATATGCAGTGTACATATGCAATAGACATATGCAATAGACATATGCAATAGACATATACAGTGTACATATGCAATAGACATATGCAATAGACATATGCAGTGTACATATGCAGTAGACATATGCAATGGACATATACAGTGTACATATACAATGGACATTATACTCACCAGGGCAGATTTTACAGCAGTCATCGGGCGGTGTGAGGGGCAGTGCGCACGATACAGAAGGACAACCTTTGATGGCACACTTCGCTATTCCATCCTAAGTGAAAATTGATGAGTAAAGTAAGTAAGTAATTGATGAGTAAGTAAGTAAAGTTGATAAGTAAATTGAAATGGATCAAAATGTTTTTGACAAATTTTTTTCTTAATATCGAAATAAAGACAGTCCTGGTTTATTGTTAATAGTAAATATATCAGAGGTGACATATTAAATTCAAATTCGAAGTTCTTTGAACAATGAGAATTGGGATAATAGCACTAAATGTAAAAAAAATCGAGGGTATTAACTAACTTTATTAAACTTGTTATTTAACTTGTGTTCCCTGATGAAATATAAAATAAAAGAGTTTTAGATACCATTTTTCGTTGGACTAAAATAATACGAATAATTTTCTGTAACTCAAAAAGAAGTGTTAAAAGATTACTAAAGCCCATTCAGGTAACATTGAAATGAAACATTAGTGAAAGTGAATGTGAGAGTCAGTGAAATTTTTGCATAAAAGTAAGTTGATTCCTGTATTAATTAGAAACAAATAAATTTTTTGGGGTTCCATTAGCCCTTCTTAAAACATCTTGTACATATTAAATTAAATGCTGGCATTTAATTCCGTAGATTAATCACAGTCGGGCATTTGGTCCATAATTTGTGTAATTGATTAAATTTATTAGTAGAAGTAATTCTTCAATGTAAATTGAATTGATTCATTCAGTTAGACGTGCAAATTTAGATGTGAATTAACTTAATACAATTAAGTGAATAATTAAATTATTAAAAATAATTTATTGTAACTCTTCATGTTAATTAACTAACATTGCAAACACAAAGCTCGCATCGCGCCATCCAAGTGTCTGTGAAATTAGCGAAGATGTCTCCGTGTCTGTAGAGCCTGCCTCTCACGGCACATCTACGCGTGCCCTCCATCTCATCCATCGCTGCTGCACCCGTCAGTCCCACCCGCGTATCCGCGCCTGCATCGCGGGGCTGCGCCGTGGCTCCCGTCCTAACCGCTGGAACGGAATCTCCAACCGCGGTTTGGTCTTCGCTGGAAGACTTGCCTGGGTGAGAAATTGTGAACATTTTACCTACTGACTTGAGATTGAAATAAAAAAAAATTCGGAGGATCCAACCGCGGTTTGGTCTTTGCTGGAAGACTTGCCTGTGAGAAATTGTGAGAATTTCATCTACAGACTTGAGATTGCATTAAAAAAAGTTTCGAAGGACCCAATCGTGGTTTGGTCTTCGCTAGACGACTTGCCTGGCTGAGGAATTGTGAGAATATTACCTGCAGATTTGAGATTGCATTAAAAAAAAAGTTTCGGAGGATCCAACCGCGGTTTGGTCTTCGCTTGACGACTTGCCTGTGAGAAATTGTGAAAATTTCATTTACTGACTTGAGATTGAAATAAAAAAAAGTTTCGAAGGATCCAATCGTGGTTTGGTCTTCGTTGGACGACTTGCCTGGGTGAGAAATTGTGAACATTTTACATACAGACTTGAGATTGAAATAAAAAAAGTTTCGGATGATCCAATCGTAGTTTGGTCTCCGCTGGGTGACTTTCCTGCGGGTAAGAAATTGTGAAAATTTTACCTGCCTCCTTTAATTAAAGTAATGGGAACGTTTCAAGACAAATAAAGCTCTGAATAGTTAATTCGTTTTGAAAAAAGTTGCTGATTACTTTGATTTATCTTTTTAGTGAAAATAACACTTTAAACACATTGAAAGATGTGATGTATTTTTCGTTTTCCTTTTAGAAAGAGATTGAAATCGATCACAGAGAATATCACAACCAATACTTATGGAAATTTCCACTTTGTTTAGTTTGATTTAAAAAAACAATAAAATATTATGTGGATGACTTATCAAATGAAGATTAATTTAACAATTAGCCAGACATCGATGAATTACATGACCTTCTGATATAATATGAACTTTATATAAATCAATAATTTGTTAGAGTTTCACAAAGTGTTTCTGCGACATAAGTGATTGTATAGTGTTTCTGCGACTATATATATTGTATAATCTATATAACAATTATAATTCATCTTCAAATGTCAGAAACCTTGTTTAATTGCGCAAAATATGATGAACTTTTATGCCCAGGCAAGCGGGAGTAAATTTGCCTTAATTATTTTACGTAATGTATTCTCATAAATTACTGCATCTTATCATACACTTTGGTTTGGTTTACAGGAATACAATTGATAGATCAATAAGTGATCAGAAAGCGCAACCATTTAAAAAAATTTACCGAGTAAAATTCAACGGAATAAGACGCATGCATTCGCAGAGTTCCTTATGTAACAGAATTTATATCCGTTAAATGATTGGGGAAATCAGACGAAAGGCAGCTGAGGGAAAATTCTTAGTAGCGTGGCAATATATATAAAATTATACTTTTAATGGACTTAAGTGACACAAGAAATGACTGGATTTTGCGTCGGAACAATCGGCGCATTGATTCTCTGTACGATGCCTTTTGAGAAGAATTTATTGAATGTATATATGACAAAAATCTACGTATAACTGCATCAGATGGAATATGTGTGCGTGCAATTTCCTAACTCACGCATCGAAATAATACATGGTTAAATATCCGAATTAGATTAACTCACCTGTGTTAAATTGATTTGGTTTGAAACTAGAATTATTTAAATGTTATACACCACTATTTTTTGTGAATTAAGGACTAATAAAGAATAAACGATTGTTTACTCAAGTCAACAGTGGTACGTACGGTCAAAACTTCAAATGTAACTATGAAGAAAATACAATGGTTATATTGACTTACAGTAAGAATTGGTGCAAAATTATGAGCACTAATGTGTTACGTCGCCATACACTGAACTAATTCTTAGGGAGCATGCACTATCATTGGCACTGGACAATTTATAGTTGTGTGAGGTTCCGAAAGATTTATAGAATGATCGAGGTTTAAATGATTCTTGATTGCATTTCAAATGAAAAATATAGAAAATTTATACTTGCCAAATCGATGTAATTGGTTTGGTGTACTTGGAAAATCATTTGGCGACATAAGTATCATACAGGCTCCATCGTCAGTAACTTGACGAATGAAGTTCTGTGTTAGTGAATTACTTAGAATATTCTAGATTATGTAACACACCTAATCTACCATCAGGCATTTGTCAAGCGAATTATCTTCGTCGTGACTTACTTAACCTACTCTAAGAGTAACTAAGTGTAATCTAAATTCTACCGTACCTCTAAACTGGTTCCTAACGCTCAGGTTCGAGTGAGGCCGCGTTAGAGTTTGTGAGACTTTGGTGTTGGTTTTAACAAGGCTTGGGTTTTTGGCACTGCCTAGTGCCGGACTCGGTGAAGAACCTTCTTTCTTCGCTCGCAAATTTCCTTTGAAACGAAAAAAAATTGTGAAGTACTCAACAAAAATCAGTAAAACAAAAAGTGACTTAAAAACCGTCTATGTTCATTTCATCTATAGCATATTTAACATATCATGTGATTAGCCCGTGGCAGAGGACGATCGTAAGGGAAGTTTGAAAGCTTTTTACCGATGCTGCTGTAATGAGTCATCGATGAGGGAATAACCTTATCGGCGTATTCATTTAAAATTTTTGAAAATCCAACACGTATAATCTCTTCAGGCTTTCCGTAATTAACTCGAAAGCAAAAACTTGCTTAAATCGAAATTTAAAGATTGATCGAGATGAAGTTGGTGAAAAAGTTGGTACAAGGGAATCAGAGCGGTTATTGATCATAAGAATATCATTTATTGATAATATGGGTTCAATCAAGTCATCATCGGTTCACAATGCTGTTGTTTTCTACACGAACCCACACGATAAAGTGCTGGCTTAGGAATTTCCTTGCCAGTCATTTTTAACTGGGATCCTGTGATATTTTCAAGTTTCGCGACCAATTGAATTATTGTTTACTGATTTTATTTTTCAGAACAGGAATTATATTTATAACAAAATAATAACAAATATGCTATGAACAGCAGCATATCAATAGAAAGATAGTCTTAAATTCTTAACCGTAAAACAGATGTCAAGTAGTTGAAAAAAAATTCACATCGTTATTGAATTAAAGCTATTTTTTAGTGTAAACAATTTCATGTAATGCATTAAAATATTTCTATTTTTATGCGAACAAAATTCTGATTATATAGACATTATTACTTTTCTTTGAGGAAACAACTTGGTGCAAGAAATTGCGCGATTTTAAACTGAATGAATAAAATATGTATTTAAATAAGTTCCAACTTTAGATTTGCACGCATCGACTGCCACTATTGCAATGTTCCTGCTAGAACTCTAGTTGTTGAGAAACTTGGCCCCGGAAAAACCTTGAAAAGACATTTCCTTTCGTGTCTTCTATAAATATCCAAGTTGACTTGGGGGATTTTTCATCTAAGTTCATTATTATTTATTTTCAATGATTATCTTGTACTTAATGATGGGGCACAAATCCAATCGCTGTATTATTAGTTCCTGTTTGTGCACAAAATTTTTTAAAAAATAGCAAGCTATGTAAATATTGCCTCTAAGCTTAAAACGATTAATGTAGTCAGAAGTATTATTGTTACGCCACCAGAAAGCATACCAACATAATACACACTGCAATTCTACATTGCAGGTTAATGGGCTATGCATGCTATCAGAAAAAAATTGTATTTCACCAATTTCACCGAAATGATGATGTTGCCGGAAAAATTTATTTTGAATCACCTTCTCATTCATCTATGAACTGGTAAATCGATCATTCTATTAACTCCATTAATTATTCTTGTTCGCTTTTAATATAGCTTTGAAATATTATGAATTTTTTGCGCTTGGTAAGCGAATGTTCCTTGGCGAGATTAATGGAACTGAACAATGTGAAAATTGAATGGCGAGTACAATTGCACCTTAAAAAATAATTAATATATGATGGTGATGCAACCAAAACGGGATAAACGAATTATTTTTATATCTCAAACCCATATAGAATTGTCTAAATAGACTAGTTGTACAGTGAACATTTTTCCGTGCATTCATAGTAGGCACATTCATGACAGAAGCTTAGTTCAAATTTTTGGTTCTTGTCAGTGTAAGTCATTGTCAAGTAACAATGCAATACATACCGTTCTGTAGTCAAGATAACTCTCAATAATTTGGTAAGTTCAGTTCATTAACAAAATTTCACTTAATTTCCAGCACAAATAATCACGTATATTAGTTGTCTATAACTGCAATACCATAATAATTTTTTCTTCGTAGAAACCATTTCGAAAGGAAGGAAGCTCATGTCAACTATTCTCCACTTCTCGGAAATTCCACCATGACAGCCATGAAGCTGTTGTTTCGTATGCGCTTTAATTGGGCTGTTGCATTTATACGAAACGGCCTATGAATTTATTCAGAATTTCTGTAGATGTTAGCATGAATTAAAGAAATAGTTTCCATTTTATTGGCTAACCTGTGCAAATGGAGCAGCACTCGTTCAGACCTGGAGACTCGGAGCATCCCTGTGGACAGTCTTCGCTGCTGCAGTTGTAAACTCCACGTCCGTCCCGACCCTGAGAATATCAGATACGAATTGTATTAGTTGTGAAGGATGACAATTTATTATTGTTTGTTGTTTAATTGTTTATTTCAATTATTATTGTTTGTTCATTTATTCAGTTTTATTCATCCTTCTTAATGGCATTAATTATTAAGACACGTTTTAAGTAAATGTCTGGTGGCCACTGACGGCTTTATTTATATATCATTTATTTATCGAATGGGCCCCGACAGTGTTGCCAATGAGGAACTTAAAATCGACAAGCCGCGTATATAGTATACCAGCACGTTAGCACCGCGTTGCAGTTGATCGATAATTCCAGAAATTTCGAAATCATATAGTGCTCCGAATCCGTTAAATGATAACAAAACTTTAATATGCTAATTAAGGATTGACCTATTCAAGCGCCTATATCACATTTTACAAGGAACTCACATTTGCATCATGTTAAAAATACGAACGAAGCTCTGTTTCTATTCATATGTACATTAATACATCCCAATTTGGAAATTTCACTTTCACAAAAACAAATTGACTGAAATGTATTTGTTGTATAAAGACTGGTACTAGATATATGTTAGGGTCAGGTTGGGGGCATATTCACAATGGTTATGGTGTCAGAGTACTACCAGGAAACACAAATTTTTGGACATCAAATCTCTGTCAAAATATCATTTTGTTGTAAGATCTGATCTCCACTTCATTTAGGTATAGCAGGTATGACAAGTAGTGTTGAAATACATTTTCAATGCATAGCAATGAAATGAACTAATAATTTTGATTTTTCCATATGATTAGAACTGGACTTACATGTCCGAGGTTGCGCTCAAGACATTGAACTCATTATATAAGCTCTACCTGAGGATCGGGTTCTTCGTTGACTAAGGTAGTGAGGGATAATATTAAGTAAGACACATAAGTCCAGATAACGTATCTTGTATACGGGGGGGTTATACAGAGTTGCGATACAGAGTTATGAGCTACGGCATCGACCGTAAGGTCGGAGAACTCAAGCTACACGCTACATCGCGGAGCGCTTATCAGCTACTGGGGGGCTTTGCTCTAGGTTGCTAGCCCTTTTATAACGTTCGCTTCCGCCCACTACTGCGGTCTTGATCGCGTGATCTATCACGTGTCTATCAGATGTTGACTCGTCCTCAATCTCTATCAGGTCAAGTGAATTGGCCGCTGACACCTCCCCTCTTCCGGAAAGATCGTCCCGATCGTATGGACACAAAATCAAAAAACATCTTGTTCAAAACCTCCGGTCCGATCGTATCTCATATCTTAAGTATACAAGAATGAAGGTTATAACAGTAATGTAAGAATAATATAATTCCTTCATTTGAAAGTATGAAAAACCGGAGCATGGTACTTTTAAAAGAAAAGAACAAGTCCATCTCCAACACAATTATGGAGGAAATCTCCAATGGGAATACACCTCGTGGTTTTCATAACACCTCGTGGTATTCATTGCTACGTTCTTCCGTTCATTGGGTTCATATGTCCTTGTGACACATAAGCTGGTTAAGCTGCCGACTCAGCGTTTAAGGCAAGCTCTCGGTGACACACTGGACTCGTAGCTAACTAGGCCTGTTTTTATAAACAAAGTCATGATTGATTAGATTCAGACGACATCAATACGGTTGGAGGTTAGTTATGATTTTAGATTCCTCTCTCTGACTTATATTGATCATTCATTCCCTCTCTTTTTTGGAGAAAATTGTTCCTACAATTTCCATTGTANTACCTGTCTCTTATACACATCTAGATGTGTATAAGAGACAGGTTCGCTTCCGCCCACTACTGCGGTCTTGATCGCGTGATCTATCACGTGTCTATCAGATGTTGACTCGTCCTCAATCTCTATCAGGTCAAGTGAATTGGCCGCTGACATACAAGATTAGAACTGGACTTATTATACAAAAGAAAATTTGCATAGAATTTACTGCCTCATACTATTATTCTTCATTTTGCTAACTTTTCAACTGCATCATAAAATAACAGTTTAAACCTTTACAAAATCAAAGAAAATACCGCTCTTGATACCAAACCAAACCCTTGCAAGCAATGACCTCGGATCTTTCATTGCGTGGCATGCAAGCAATGCTTTTGATTTTTTATCATAAATTTATGGGTCAAATACACTAGAAAATCTTTAAAAAAACCGCAGGCTGTAAAATCTCGGTTTTGTGAGGCCTAAGAGACTTTTGAAAGGTTATTTATTCAATAGGAACTGAGACGTCTTTCTGCGAGCTACCAAATGGCCGTAGAAGCCGCAAATTAGGCCTTCTCCAGGCCAGCGTCTGGGAGCTTATGAATCGCAAGATGTCTTCTTGCAAAAATAGAGTCGGGAGAATCCCTGGATAGGCTGGATTATTTTAGAATGATATCGAGGAATGGAAAACGAAGTGAAGATTTAATTCAAGGCAGGGAGAAAAGTTAAAATAGAATAAATTCGAATACAGAGTGGATTTTTTGAGAAGAGCTATGTTGTTCAAAGCCGAAAATGATTTCTAGGCAGAGAAATTGCTTGATATGCGCTGAAATGATAGCTGAAATAGAGAATTTCGAACGAAGTGGGTTCAAACTCATATACACTCAGCACGGGAGTTTCATAGTTTACAATAGATGAAATCATATATTTGTATCTAAAAAAAATAGAGTCAAACGCTAACTTTTTCTTAGGATTAATATTTATTGAAATATTTTGATTTCTCAACTTCTACTAAAATATCATGGGAAAAAAAATCTTCGAAACAGAACATGGTTTTCCTGGGCTCCTTAATAGTATCATGGAAGAACAAAACTTCAAGGTGTCAGTTGTAAATTCAATTTATGTTTCCACTTGAGCATTAAATTTTGCGGTAAACTCCAGACTGCATTAAAAACAAAGAGTTACATTTTAGAAACTGAGCAGAATGAGTTATTTCGGTGGCTGAACCAAGTTAATCGGTTAGCTCAATAACATCCTTGTTAGCTGCTCGTGAAGCGAAATAATTTAGTTAGTACAAATAGAATGGTTAAGCAAAAGCAAGATAAGAGATACTCCTATTACCAACAGCATGATATATAGATCACGTGGAATAACAGCATGATATGTGCCACTACATGCAATAACAACATGATATGTCTCACTAGATGAAACATCAGCATGATATGCAGCACTACACGCTATAAAAGCGTTATATATGGCAATAAATGAAATAACTACATGATATGTGACACTGCATGTGAAATAACAGCATGATATGTGACACTGCATGTGAAATAACAGCATGATAAGGCGCTGCATGCAATAACAGCATGATATGTGACACCGCATGTGAAATAACAGCATGATAAGGCACTGCATGCAATAACAGCATGATATGTGACACTGAATGTGAAATAACAGCATGATATGTGTCTTTGCATGTGAAATAACAGCATGACAAGGCGCTGCATGCAATAACAGCATGATGTGTGACACAACATGTGCAATAACAGCATGATATGTGACACTGCATGTGAAATAACAGCATGACAAGGCGCTGCATGCAATAACAACATGAGCTGTGGCACTACAGCCAATAAAAGCATGAGATGGCACAATGCCAAGCGATGCCAGAGGCAAAGACCTCAAGAGAAATTTTCCTTCGGCCAGACTTGATTTTCCAGGCGACTTACGACTTTGTGGTTAAATGAGCAGCCTTAGAGCAATACTAAATTCAATGGTAATGATATAAAATGTGTGTAAATTAAATGAAAAAGAGTTTCTACACAATATTTAACAGCGACGCTTTCCATCCAATTGATGGACTAAATTGGATTTATTTTACCGGATTATCATTGAAATGTATCACATGCTAGCATAAACTTGAAGTTATCTTCACATGCCATGTTTATTTTTTAAATTTCTTCGGGATTTATAATGCAGTAGTTTCAGCATTAAAATGTGGATGGCATTCATCTTCAGCATTCCATGGCCGTACGATCCTATAATCGCAGTAGCGTAAGATACGACAATCGCCGTAAAGTACGATACAATAATCGTAGTAAAGTACGACACGATATCGCCGTAACATACGATACGATAATCGCCGTAACATACGATGCGATAATCGCCGTAACATACGATGCGACAATCGCCGTAACATACGATACGACGATCGCCGTAACATACGATGCGATAATCGCCTTAACATACGATACGATAATCGCCGTAACATACGATACGATAATCGCCGTAACATACGATACGATAATCGCCATAACATACGATACGATAATCGCCGTAACATACGATGCGATAATCGCCGTAACATACGATGCGATAATCGCCATAACATACGATACGATAATCGCCATAACATACGATACGATAATCGCATTGAAGTACGATACGATAATCGCCATAACATACGATACGATAATCGCAGTGAAGTACGATACGATAATCGCCATAACATACGATACGATAATCACAGTGAAGTACGATACGATAATCGCCGTAACAAACGACACGATAATCGCTGTAACCTACGATACGATAATTGTCGAAAAATACGATACGATAATTGTCGAAACATACGATACGATAATCGCAGTAACGACTAGTAATAGCATGCATAAAATTACTCATGAAGTAATTGCATTATTAATATGTAGACAGTGTTTATCCATGTTCCACATGAACACACGCATAACGTTCGAATCATAGAATTATGCCGGGAGACTCCAACGAAAAACTTGGTCGGAAGTTTACGGAGGCGTACTTGAAACTTCATGTCTGAACATTCTTATCTTGTTATATTCATCGGTTCGGGCGGCTTTTTCAATGGTAATGACCACTGTTAGCTGAGCCTATCTGGAGTCATTTATAATCTTCTCTACTGTATAACGTTGTTTATTCAACAATTTTCATCATTGTACAATATTCTTTATTTCACACTCGTTTTCATTGTATAATTGTTTCCATTACATAATGTTTATTTTACAAACATCGTTTATTGATGCA